GATTTTAGCTGGGATTTGAAGAAAGCCAGCAAAGCCAGAAGGCTGAGAGAAGGGAGAGGGAGCATTCCAGGAATGGGGAACAATCATCTAAGTGGAAAAGTATTTCATAAAAGTAGAACAGAAATCTAAAGGCTTTACTATACTTTACTACACATTCTCTTGCAATAGCATGTATAATTGAGCATTGACTTTACCTACATTTCCTTGTGTTGTGTAATTAAAAAGACTAGAGAAAAGGGCTTCGGGGTTTGTTTGTTTTTTTAAGAAATGTCGAGTCTCTGTTTTATTACTTTGCAGTTCTGCCTTCTCTTTACATTTGCCCTTTTTGGGCTATGTTGCTCAGCTGGTATGGTGGGTGATGAGGCAAATGTGGTGGCTGAATCTCTGTATCAGTCTGAAGCATGGACTAAGAGTAGGAAAGGACTTCAGAGGTTTTCTAGATTAACCCCTTCATTTTACAAATGAGGAAACTGAGGCCCAGAAATGTTAAGCGACCTGCCCAAGGTCACACATGGAGGAAGGAAGTGACTAAGCTGGCACTAATTTCACATCCAGTTCTATGTTCCACAATCACAGACCAGTCCCTAGCCACCAGCCAACAGTCTGGAAAATAGGCACAGTCAGCCATAGAGAGACTAAGTGAGAATGTGGGCTAGACAAGGTGGATTTAGCACTACTCCTAAGAAAACAAAGAAGCAGCTTCATAGTTAGGAGGATCTGGGGCTTTTGTGTCTGAAACACGCTAGCTCTGGGATCCTGGGGAAATCATTTAACCAGAAGGGTCAGCAGGCCACAAGCAGCCAAAACTCCCCTGTATGATCCAAACCAGATGATGTTGTCATTGGGAAATGTTTAACAAAATCACCAAAACCACAACACTGTTAATGTTAATCTGTGGCTTTTTAAGTCAAAACAGGGATCAATTTCTATCTGTGTTTGACACCACCTATCCATGTGCTCTAGCTAGCTCTCTAAACTGTAAGTTGAAAAGGTCTGAAATTGCATTTGTAGAGGCATTTCCTCACCTGAGAGTTAATTTCCTATGTCAATGAAATCATAGGTCCTGTTCCTATCCACTACACTCTGTTCATGTTAGGTTGATAATATCATCATAGATATAAAGATAAAATCTTTTAAACTGGAATCCTAGATACAAATTTGGACACTTTTTGTTACATGTGGTGTAGTTTTAGAAATTAAAATTTTGTAAGTATAAAAGGAGGTGATAAACTCCAAAGCAATTACATGATCTTACATGAAAACCACTAGTACACTAACTGTATACACCAACCTCAGGATCCTTTAAAAAAAAAAGGATACACAGATATGAGGTTATAATTGGAAGCCTTTAAATTATTTAATCTAGTTCTTGAGTGAAGAAAAGACTAGAGGGAGAGGGAGGGAGACAGAGAGAGAGAGAGAGAGAGGGAGAGAGAGAGAGAGAGAGAGAGAGAGAGAGAGAGAGAGAGAGAGAGAGAGAGAGGTTACATTATGGATAAAAACAGTCAAAGTTCATCTTTTATAATAAGAGACTACCAAAACATCTTCATTTCTTTTGCCTGGAAACCTGAGGGTTTTATAACATGAATGTTTAGAATGGCATAAAGTACACCTGTTAGAATCATGAAGTATCAGAAACTTTCAATGATCTGTGGTATACCTGAAAATTGCAGTGAGACAAAGTGTCTAGGGGCTCCTGCTCTTTGGAGAGCCCTGTAGAGACCAGCCATCAAGTGAGTGGGAGAAAGAGAAGTTCAGATTGTCACTCTCTGGAACCTTCACTTGCTCCCATCATCTCCATCCATGTTCTCTATCTAGAGGCCATCAGGATCAGACTAGGATGGAGGCTCATCACTTGCCTAGGGGAAGACAGAGTGGTCCAACAGGAGCTTTTCCCATTGGCCCAAGACTGGAAAAATGACTTTTGCGTTACCTTTCCTCCCACTTCTTCCTTAGGGGATTTTGCAAATTAAGGAAGTGTCTTAAGGATACTGCTCAGGCCCTCAGGGAGATAGAGAATAACAGGAATAGGAAAGGAAAACCAAATAGTGAGGGGAAGAAATAGAAGTAAGGCTAAATAAAGTAGAAGTTGGAAAAGAGAAGACTGAGGTCTGCCTCAGTCCTAGTATTTCAGGAAGCCAGGCCACAAAAAGAGGCCATGGGGAAGTACTTCCTTCTCCATTGGGTGTGTCCAATCTTAAAGGAAGTTAGGGATTGAATTGAAAAAGTGAAAAGGAAATAGAGACACAAAAAAAGAGTAATGATTCATTTTTAGAATCTGTCCACAATTTATGTAAATTCCTAAGGCTGGATCAATGTAATCTTACTGAATACTTTAAAAGGATATCAATATTCTATGATAATTTCTGAAAGCCAAAATTTGGCTGTGAACCATTAAATACCATGACAGCAGAGGAACCCCTCCGTCAGCATGTAAACTTTTTGGGAGCAGGGATTGTTTCATTCTTTGAGTTTGCATTCCCAGATTGTAGCATAGTATCTGGTGCAACGCTTGTTGATTGGATGATTGAAGAATCAAAATTGCAGGTGATCCAAAGGGTAATGAAAAGAGAGTGGCTGAGATAAGTAGGCAAATGATCCAAGATGACTGGTCTAAGAAAAGTGGTGACAAAGATACTATTATCAAGTGGCTCCCTTGAATGAAAAAGGTGGGCATACCTGGTAGCTGTACTGGCATCCAAGAAATAGGAAAAGAACTCCAAGGGCTGGGGAAAGCCCCTATGGAGTTTTTACCAAAGACTTGGACAACACTTATCCGGGATGAGAAGACATAGATAAGATGAGATCCCACAGGGCTCCTCTTCCAAGCAACAAGGCATTATTTTCTTAAATCAAGATGCTGTTTAGTCGTTTTTCAGTCACATCTGACTCTTCCTGACCTCATTTGGGGTTTTCTTGGCAAAGATCCTGGAGTGGTTTGCCATTTCCTTTTGTAGCTCATTTGACAGATGAGGAAACCGAGACAAACTGGGTTAAGTGACTTGCCCAGAGTCACGTAGCTAGGATCAGTCTGAGGCCACACTCTAGTCTTCTTGACTGCAGGCTCAAGACTCTATCCATCGGTGCCTTAAATCAAGATACTTGTTTGAAATGGAACCCTATGAGAGGGATTCTGCTACCAGGGGTGAGGAGCTTGTGGCTTTCGAAGCCCCAAGTGGTCCTCTAGGTCCTCAAGTGTGGCCCTTTGCATGAATCCAAATTTCACATAACAAATCCTCTTAATAAAAGGATTTGTTCTGTAAAACCTGGACTCAGTCAAAAGGCCGCACCCAAGGACCTAGAAGGCCACATGTGGCCTCCAGGCCACAGGTTCCCCACCCCTGTGCTAGGCACCGTATTCTGCCAACACTGACATTTCTAAAAATGTGACATTTTAAAAACTAAGTTGCCTGTTTGAAAAATAAGGAAATCTTGTATTATTTTAAAGGGAGCAGGCCTCTACAAACTCAATGGTGACTAAAAATTCCAGGATTGTAAAGACAGTCGAAAAGGGGAGTAAAGAGAAAGAAAATGAAAAACAAAATCTTTTGCTGTTTCTGACCAACCACAGGAAAGACGGGGTCAAAAGTAATTTTAAGGGGGAAGAGTGTGGGAAGTACTAAATTCAACTTGCCAGGACTGCTTGCCCCTTCATGTTATGAGGAAGGGGGCAGGGAATCTCTTCCTGTTCAGGTTGGACTAGAGGCCACTGGGGTCTCTTCCCACTCAAATTCGGTGATTCTTAGACTTGGAAAAGAGAAGAGGAAACACTTCAGTCTCTCTTTCTAAAGGTGCAGCATGTTGCTTATCCTCTCAGACTCAGTCTAGAAGGGTGCAGAATGGAATGTAATCTGCAGAATTTTACGGACATCAGACCGATGCAGCTGAGGTTAGAGCAGGAAGGGACCTCAGAAGTCACAGGTGAGACCACTCATTTTACAAATGACAAAAGTTAAATCTAGAGGTTAAGCGACTCCTCCACTTCCAGAGGTGGGAAAACAGCAGAGCCAGCTTCCCTGGACAAGCCACAACCCTTGCTTGCCTCAGTTTCCTCATCTGTAAAATGGGGGATAATAATAGAATCTACCCCCCAGACTTGTTTTGAGGATCCATGGGGATAATAACTGTAAAGCTCTTAGCACATTGCCTGGCACACAGTAAACACTATATAAATGTTAGCTACATTAATACTACTGATAATTATTATTTGGAACTCTGGTCTTCTGACTCCCACTATCAGCTGTTCTTTCCACTGTACTATGACGCTTCTTCTGCTATGATTTGCTCCTGTTTTCCTCTGTTACAGCGGAGGATGCATCGGATAAATTGTATTTTGGGAAATGGAAGCTGAGTGGAAGAGAGAGGCTGGACCTGTGATTTCTTTGGGATAGGAAGTCCCAGATAAGGAAACTCCTTCTACCAGTGCAGGACCCCACCTTCTCCGTAACCGTCCACTCTGCTAAGTTAATTTGAAAAGGAAAAAGAGTAAAGGGGTCGGGCTCGGTGCGCGCTGGGCTGCGGGCGAGCGAGGCCTTGGCGCAGCGAGTGAGCGCGGGTAACGTACCTGGCGAGCCTGCTAGGACCCCTGGGGGCGCCCAGGTGGAGCTGACTGGGCGCGCGCTGCCCCGAGGCGTCCAGGGCTGGCCTAGAACGTTCTGGAGACCGGTTGGCAGCGGTCTGAGGCTCGAAGGGACCTGGGGGTGGGGGCAGACTGGAGGGCCACGGGCAATGGGGGCGAGGGGGCGAGGAAGCCGAGGCTGCTGCAGGACAGAGAGTGGCGTTCTGCCAGGTCTGCCAAGCCATCGTGCCCGGTACTCCCTGGAGACGGGGCCCCTCCCGGACTGTTTGTGAGATGGTTGTGGCGTAGGTAGCACAAGGATCCCGCTCACCGGGCCGCGTGGTCCAGATCATTCCGCAGCCACCCCCCCGGCCCAGATGCGCTGGCCGGACCACCCGGAGGCTGCCAGTTTGGGGCTGGGGCTGGCGTGAGGTTCACTCACCATGCCAGGGGCTGTGGGGCGGGGAGTCTCATCGGCCAGTGGCCGCTGAATGAGGAAACTTGGGAGCGCCCACTCTTCCAGTGGACTCAATGGATTCGTTTTTTCCTCTCCCTGCTGCTCCCACGCACTTTTGTCATCGCTCCCAGTGGAGAGGTCCACCCCCACTGTATTCCACTTCGGAGCCAAGGCCAGTCACCCATGCCAAAGGATACATAGCTAGAAGGAGGAGGGGGTCCCCAGGGCTAGCACCCAAACTATTCTTCCCTGTCACAGGCACATATTCAAAGTCCTGCCAAGAGTAACAAAGGGTTGTAGAAATTAAAGCTATCTATAGTCGTAAGAAAAAAAAATGCTCTAAATCATTACTAATTAGAGAAATGCAAAGTGAAACAGCTCTGAGGTACCCACCTCACACCTATCAGATTGGCTAATATGACAGAAAAGGAAAATGATAAATGTTGGAGATGTGGGAAAATTGGAATACTAATGCATTGTTGGAGTTGTGAACTGATCCAACCATTTTGCAGAGCAATTTGGAACTGTGCCCAAAGGGCTATAAAAATGTGCATACCCTTTGACCCAGCAATAGCACTGCTAGGACTGTATCCCAAAGAGATCATAAAAATGGGAAAGGGACCTACATGTACGAAAATATAGCAGTTCTTTCTGTGATGGCAAAGAATTGGAAATTGAGGGGATGCCTATCAATTGGGGAATGACTGAACAAGTTGTGGTATATGAATGTAATGGAATACATTAGTGCTATAAGAAATGATGAGCAGGTGGATTTCAAGAAAACTTGGACTCACATGAACTGATGCTGAGTGACCTGAGCAGAACTAGGAGAACATTATGTACAGTAACATTATGTACATTGTGAAATGATCAACAATGACTGACTTAGCTCTTCTCAGCAATACAATGATCCAAGACAATTCCAAAAGGCCCGTGATGGAAAATGCTACCCACATGCAGAGAAAGAACTGATGCAGATCAAAGCATACTATTTTCACTTTTTTGGGGGGGGTTAGCTTGTCCCTTTTGTTCTGTTTCTTCTTTCACAACATGAGTAATGTGGAAATATGTTTCCATGATTGCACATATGTAACCTGTATCAGATTACTTCCCTCTTGGAGAGGGTGGATGGCAGGGAGGGAGGGAGGGGAGAAAAAAATCTGGAACTCAAAATTTTATAAAAAATGAATGTTGAAAACCATCTTTACATATAATTGGAAAAAGCAAAATACCATTTAAAAAAAGTAACAAAACACACTCTTGCCATGGAAATATGATTGCTTCACTGTCTACAAGGAAATTGGGTTAGAAATTTCAGAGATACACCCTTATCTCCACATACTGGTTCTCGAACTACCTAACAAGTTTCATTGTTGATAAACCAGGGGGCACTAATCTAATACCTTCTTTGCTCTTCTCACCCGCCCACTGAATACAGAATGTAGTACTATTGCTACTGTGCTGTTTGATAGGATCCGCCAATCAACATAAGCTTTGTATTTATCAGCAAAACATGATTATAAAAGAATGTGCTGATGTATGCTTCATGAGGATCCAGAATGGCTTAAAACAAAAACAACAATAAAATACCCATCTTTAAACTACTCAGCACTAGAATAGATCATGTCAATTGCCTGTCATCCATGTCTGCTTGGATCATGCCTGTGTGTCTTGTTGAAGGCTTTTTAAAAAATATTTTCTCCCAATTATCATGCATTTATTTCTTTTTCTCCCTTTGCCTACTAGAAAGAAAGGAAGAAGAGAGGGTTAAGTCCTTGTATCCTATAAGCATAGCCAAACAAAACAAAATTGTTTCTCATTCTGCATATTAGTCCCCTATATCTCTGTCATGAAATAGGAAGCATTTTTCATCAGTTCTCTGGAACCATGGTTGATTTAATTTGTTTGAATTCTTAAGCCTTTCAGAATTGTTTCATTTTACAATATTAATGTTACGGTATAAATTGTTCTCCTGGTTTGGCTCTCTTCTTCAGTCTGTATCAATCCATACAAGTCTTCCCAAGTCTCTCTGAAGCTCTCTTTATTTCTTACAAGGCAATAACATTTTTTAAACCTTGTGTTTAATTCAGTTTTACTTTCACTTCCAAATTCTCTCCCTCCCCACTGAGAAGGCAAGAACAAATAGAACCTATTACAAATTGTATATTATACACAACAAATTTCTCACCTTAGCCATGTTTTTAAAAAAGGGGGTGGCAAGAAAAACAGAAGAAAACATGTCAAAATCTGCACTCTTGAGTCCATCTATTCTCTATTTGGAGGTGGGTAGATATATAGGTGTTCAGGGAAAACCAGCACCTCTGGGGTGAGGGCTTGTCAAGCCCTTTTCAGGGCTTATATTTCATCCACCTTTGGTGTCCACCTGGCACTCAACTCTCACCTGTGACTCTAAGAGCAGTAGCAAAAGCAGCAGCCACACTAATAAAATGTCTTGGTAGACAGGCTAAACCAGGCTGAGGGTAACCAACAAACAAACCCTTTAGTGAGTTAGAGGTGTGTCTACCCAAAGCATGTGAAGATTTCCACCCCAGGGAAATGGGTGGATGAGAGCAGTTTGTTCCAACAGCCATGAAGGCAGCCGAAGCAGGAGCTATAGTCAGACGTCAGAGACTCCAAGGTCATCCACTGCAACTTGGGCAATCACCAGTAGTCCTGACTTCTGAATTGCCATTGGATTTTGATAACTCTAGGGGAGGGAGAGTGAAACTGATGACTTTGTGCAACTCTGCCTCATTTAAATTCGTGTACAAGCCAAGACAACACCCCGTGATAACACTAGTCCTCTTTGAAAATGAAGGACATCTGGAGGTACATAGCATGTTTCATCATGAGTCCTACAGAAATGTGGCTGACGATTGTGTTGATCAGAATTCCTAGGTCTTTTAAAGTTGATTAATTTTAAAATACTACTGTTACTGTGTAAATTGCTCTCTGCATCAATTCATATAAGCTTTCCCAGGTTTTTCTGGAATCTTTTTCGTTGTTATTTACAGCATAATGGTATTCCATTGCATTCGTACACCGTAATTAGACTCTATCCAGCCAACCACTGGAGTCCTCTCTTGGGTTGTGTCCCATTTCCTTTTTACTACTAGTGTAATACATTATTTTCCCCCAATTATTATATTTTATATTTCTTCCACCGGCAAGTACAAATATTCAAATATATGAAAAACAAAAGAAAACAATAAAAAGCAAATATAAATGGCTGCATTTGATCATAGGGTCATACTTAGAGCTGTAAGGGACCTTAGAAATGATCTAGCCTACTCTCATTTTACAGATGAGGAAATAGGTGTTTTTAAAATGGGATTGCAACCAGCTAGTCCTATTGGTTTCCATAATCCCCTTCTGAACATTGCTGTCAATTGGTTAGTCTTTTTTTTGTTTGTTTGTTTGTTTTTTTTGGTGAGGCAATCGGGGTTAAGTGACTTGCCCAGGGTCACACAGCTAGTAAATGTTAAGTGTCTGAGGCTGGATTTGAACTCAGGTCCTCCTGACTCCAAGGCCAGAGCTACCTAGCTGCCCCTGAATTGGTTAGCCTTGTTGCTCTTGGTCCCCCACTGCATCCTGGGCCATCTCCAGTCGTCCTGATCTACATGTAGTCACTGGACCCACATGGCTCCAGAGGAGAAAGTGAGGCTGGTGACTTTGCACAGTACTTCCTCACTTATTAAATCCAAATCACTTACATGTCATGGCATCACCTCCTTGGTGTCACGGTCCTCTTCAAGAACAAAGGATAAACAGTAGCAAGCCAGTAACTTTTATTTTCATAGTAGTATTCAGTGTGTACATTGTTGAACTGTAACCAACTTTATCAAATGCCAACATAAGAAAAACAAGACAATTCCTTGAGTAGGCTGAAATATCGAAACACAAAGTACTGCTGCTACTTCTAAAATCTCCAGTTATTTTTAGTAAAATGACTGCAAATTCTTTAAAATCTTTTGATGAAAAACAAAAATGTCAATATGTAGACCAGAGGTGGGGAACCTGTGGCCTAGAGGCCACATGTGGCCCTCTAGGTCCTCAAGTGCAGCCATCTGACTGAATCCAAACTTCACAGCACAAATCCCCTTAATAAAAGGATTTGTTCTGTAAAACTTGGACTCAGGCAAAAGGCCTCATCCAAGGACCTAGAAGGCCACATGGCCGGGAGGCCGCAGGTTCCCTATCTCTGAAGACATGTCACTTTGTGTGATCAAATTTGATACTGACAATGGGCTTTTTCCATGCTGCTACAGCTAAAAAGCCCCATGTGAGATTCTACCCAGTGAACTTATTAACTTTGGACTGAGATTTGCAAATTGCATCTGTATTTTCCCAGGGAGTTTTGTTTCATAATCTCCCTGAAGCCTGAAGACTTATCCCATTTGTGGTTACAACATAGTAGCTTCATTTGCCTTCTGCTAGCAGTCCCTGAAAGGCCACACTGTTGTTCAAGTTGTGTTTTGAAATCTAAAGTAGTTTACAGTACATATGAATAAACTAACATTTAGAAAAAGTCATGATTATTATTTTATTTGCAATTCTAAATAGAGTACTATATGCTTATATGAACTTGCTAATTACTGGTTTCTAAATCAAGAGATGAGACACCAATTTACTAGTGTTTCAAGTCAGATTCTTTTTTAATTTAAAAATGTTACTTCTGATATGGCTAGGAACTTACCTTTCTCCTCAAGCTATGGATAAATTTGATCCTTCTGTTCCTTTTCAAGTGCATGTACAGGTTTCTTTCTTCCTACCTTTGAGGAACTAAGATTCCAGTTTCCTTAGGCTATTATTAAAACTATATTGATAAGTGGCCTGGAGTAGTTGCCACCAAAAGAGAATCCAAATTTTTCTTTTAACCTTTGAAAAATGGGATGAAAATTCAGCGAGATGGCTTTAAAAATACAGCCTAACATTCAACGGCAATTTTCTAAATCATTATCAAAGAAAGTTGTTACGATACATCCCTCTGTCCCTGTTTCTTTCCTCTATTTGTGCTTCAAATAATGGAAACCTGAAATACAGGCTTTTCCCATAAATCTTAGTGAGATATGGTTCCACATGTTAATGTAGCTGATTGCTGTCTGTTCACGATTTCAACAAAACTTACAAAAATCTTATTATTTTAATATTTTACTAAGAACAGTAATAAAGGTTCCAGCATTAAAAATTTGAAAAGCAGCAAAGGTCTAGTCTACATAATTAAATCCCAGATTTTATTTGGATAGATTCTGATTATTTAATTAAGGCTCTTGAATTATCCACAGGATAAGACTGGGCTTCCCCATCACTTGGCATTCTTCTGCTTGACCAGGCACCCTGTAGCAATGGTAGTTAGTATTATGTACAAGGGTCACAAAAACAATTTTAAAATCAATCAAGCAATCAAGAAGAGGAAAACACATAAGCAAACAGAGTATATGTAGCTTATCCTTTTTTTTTCTTTTTCAAATGAACGGCATCTGTTTTTATCTTTGGTGTTTACTTCTGCTGTGGATCTGATGACTGTAAGCAAAATTTAATAATACCCTAAAGTATAAGGGTGTTTGTTATTAATGTGTTATTACAACACATTTGAAAAGCCAAAGGGAAAGGATCTGTGGATTATTTTTGGAGGGCTTATGTTATTATTACTCCCCCATAGAGGGCAAGCTCCTTTCGGTCATAGCTATTTTGATTTTGTCAAGGCACAGTGCCTTGCACATATAACTGAGAGTTGTGATGTGATGATACATCACATATTTCGGTAGTAAGTAACTTGAGGAAATATTCAATATATTCAAGAGGTTCCACTGGTTTTTTTTCTGGATAATTTAATCATTTTATTAATAAGGTCAGCATGTTTATTAATAAAAGGATGGTCATTTGGGTCTCTTTTACACCTGATGCCATTATTTTAAAACCAATTACCTTGGATATACTTATTACAATTATATTTTTAAAGGTATGCCTTCACGCTGTCACCTTTCTGTAGAATCCTCTTTTACAGAAAAGTATCACAAACCAAATCCAATTGGCCTTAGCCATGACTGACAAGGTATGCCTGCTTTGTTCCACATCTATAGGCGACCACCTCTCTAGTGAGAAGAGATACATTTCATTGTCAGTCAAAAGTCTGGACTGCACGGGTTGGAGTTTGAAAGTCTTTTAGCCTCATCTTCCTTTACTTTTTTGTGGTCCTTGTGACCCATCCTGCCCTCCACTGCCTGACAGGCATCCGGGGCACACATCATGCTCATCCTCATTTCCCCATCTTTGTACAAGCCAGTCCTGCCGCTCTCTACCTAGCCTAGTTTTGACACACCTTTCAAAGTTTGGCTCAGTTTTTATCTCTTCATCAATTTCTCCAAGGTCTTCACTTCCCACAGCCCTCCCTCCTTTCTCTGAATTCTTTTATTCAGTACTAGATACTTTGCTATTTTGTTGTTCAGTTGTTTTAATCATGTCTGACTTTTTGTGACCCCCTTTGGGGTTTTCTTGGCAGAGATACTGGAGTGGTTTGCCATTTTGCAGCTCCAGCTTATTTTACAGATGAGGAAACTGGGGCAAACAGTGAATTTGCCATTTACTAAACTGCTAATTGTTTCATTATGTGCTAATTCACATTAGTTTTGCTTCCTCCTACAAATTGTCCTTGGGTACAGAGGACATTGGAGATAGGGAAAGGTTTTCATATTTCTTTTGTAGTTCACTATTTAACAAACACAAAAATGTCATATTAGTTTCAATACAGGCTATCATTTAGAAAAAAAAAATTGGATTAGGTGAAGCCTGGGTGTGGCATATATACAATTGTGCTCCATGGACAAGTCTTTTCCTGGTGTCACAAGGTAAAGGAGTGAAGGAGGCAGATCCATCATGATGGCACTGCCCCAGGTCCTTAGAGATAGTAGGTATCTCACTATAAAGCCCTCCTTCCTTTCCCACTCAAGGCTAAATATGGCTGCTAGGAAGTGGGCAGTGGGAGAAGATCTCTGGGAATACACTTTGCTAAATCAGCTAATCAAAAAGCACTGGTTAAGTTGCTTACTAGGTGATAGGCACTGTACTAAGTCTGGAGGAATAAAAAAAAAAAAAGGCAAAAATAGTCCCATCCTTCAAGGAGCTTACATACTAACGGGGAAGACAATAAATAACTAGGTACATCCAAGATACATACAGAGTAGAAGGGAGGTAGTTTCAGAAAGGAAAGGATTAGTAGATGGAGGGCCAGGAAGGGCCCCCTTCTAGAAGATGGAATATGAGTTGAGACCTGAGGCAAGGAAGACAGATACTACAAGGAAGAAAGAGGGAGAGCATCCTCGGTTTGAAGGACAGCCAATGCAACAAGCATGGAGCAGGGGTAGGGGATGATCAAGATGCTTATGAGAGAACAGAAAGTACGCCAATGTAGCCAAATCATAGAATTTGTGGCGGGCAGTAACGTAAGAACAGAAAGGTGGTAAGGGTCCAAGTTGTAAGAGGTTTAAACGCCAGACAGAGGACCTTCTATTCGGTCCTACAGGTAAAAGAGAGCCATTGGAATTGATTGGCTGGCGGGGCGATACGGCCTGAGTTGAGGATAGCTTGAGTGGGAAGAAATGAGATACATACCAATTAGGAGCACAGTACTGCAATAGACCAGGCAATAGGTGATGAGGGGTCTCTACAATGGGGGCAGGCATGTGAGTAGAGAGGAAGGGACATTCAAAGATGCTGCAAAGGTCAAAATGGCAAGATTTGGCAACAGACTGGAAGATGACATCGAGGTTCTAAGCCTGTGTGATTTCAGGATGGGAGTGCCTTTGGTGTTAAGAGAAATACGCTAATAGAAAAGTTCAGAAAAGGGAGGAGTGGGGCAGGGGAAGATAAGTTGTTTCATATATGACCATGGGACATCCAGTTCATAATGTCCAAAGGACAGGTGGTGTCACGGGATTAGAGCTCAGGAAAGACTAAAGTCTGATATTCAGAGCTTGGGAAAGACTAAGGCCCAATCAGTGTCACGAAAACCAAGAAAGAAGAAAGGATCCAGGAGGAGGTTATTAACAGTGTTGAATGCCACAAAGAGGTCAAGAAGATGAGATTTGAAATAAGGTCATTAGATTTAGCAATTATTATATAATTATATCGTTACATAATAGATCATTAAACTTAGGAGAGAGATGTTTAAGTTGAATGATAAGATTGCAGAGGGTTTATGAGAATAGATGAAGTGGAAGAGAGACCTGAGATAATGAATCAAGTGAGGATTTTTTAAGTAGGGGGGAAATGGGGGGGATCCGTGTAAGCAGCAGAGAATGGAAAAGTTGATATAGAGATATTGAAAAGTGGAGATGATAATGTGAGCAATCTGCTGGAGACAACAAGAAGGGGTGGATCAAGGTTGCATGTAGAGGAGTTGGCCTTGGGAAGAAGGGTGGGTTACATCTTCATCTGAGACTGAAGGAGGAGATAGTGGCCACAGGAGGAGTGAAGGGAGCTAAGAGGGAGGAAGGGGAAGTTCTGGCCAATGACCTCAATTTTTCTGGATAAAGCTAGAGGGGAGGTTCTTAATAGAGAGAGTTGGGGAAGGGGTGCTGTGGGAAGCTTGAGAAGGGAGGGGGTTTGGAATAACTGCTGGGGAAAGTGGGATAGTGAATCCATTAGGGAGGCACAGAAGGACTGTCTTTTTTATTTTTTTTGGTTAGGCAATTGGGGTTAAGTGACTTGCCCAGAGTCATACAGCTAGTGAGCTTTATGTGTCTGAGGCCGGATTTGAACTCAGGTCCTCCTGACATCAGGGCCGGTGCGTTATCCACTGCACCATCTAGCTACCCCAGAAAGACAGTCTTGATGCAGTAAGGGTCCTGTTTATATGACCATCACTGGACATCCTCTGCTTCCATATTCTACAATCTAGCCAAATTAGCCTTTGTTTCTTAACTTTATCACTTCATTTTCTGTCTCCAGGTCTTTGCACTGGCCATCCATCATCCTCCATGAATTAAATTCACTCTCCTTCCCATCTCAAAGTTCTTTTTCTTGAAGATGCAGTTCAGACGCCATCTTCTGCATGAAGCCTTTTCTGATGTCCCAACTACCTTTTATTTAACCACTCTGTGACTCTATGTGTAATTTATTAACTTTAGATTTATGTGAATTTATTTTTATATGTACTTTCCTCCCTCCTCCATTAAAATGCAAGCTTGTGTCAGGATCGTGTCATTCTTGGTACTTGGATCTACAGGATCTACTTAACATGGTGCCTGGCACGCAGGAGGTATTTAATAAATATTTGTGGATTGAGGGCAGTGAACCCAATATGCAGAGTTTTCTGAATTCCTCTAACTCTATTCTGAATCTGCCTTTTGTCCTGTGAGTTTTAGGTTGTTTCTCAGTTGCACGTGTTACTCTGTGGAGCTCAATGTCAAGGAACTGAAATATAGCTCATGGGAGGGAGGCAGTGGCAATAGGTGCCACTGAGTACTGCAGTTTCTGAGCTTTATAAACGGGTAAAGGACTGCACGAGGTGTGAAGCATGAGGAGTAGGGAAGAAAAGATCAAGGGAGTAACTCATCTGTATTAGCCCTCTTGTTGGCGAGAGAGCCAGTTTTGTGGTCTGAATATGGAGTGGCAGTGGAGTGTTTTTAACCTAGCTGGGAGAATTTTGGCTCCATTAGCTTGGTGTTCCTATGCCGACCAAAATGATTTATCTGGGGGCAGTGAATGAGAGGTTTGCATGTGTTCCTACTGCTGAGGCATCTGCCAAATGTGTACAGATGGCAGGGTGAAAGCAACTTACAAGAGCATGGGAGAGAGGCTGAAGATGGGGAAATTACATCAGTTGCACCACTGTTCCATGCAAAGGCTTAAGAATAAGAAGATAACTGGCTTGACATTACCTCCACCCCCAGCCAATCTTCCTCCTTGCCCCATCAGATCTTAACAGTTTTTAGAGATGATAGAGGAAATGGCTAGAAGCTATGCATTGGCTAACAAGGGTTGAATACTTGCTTATACTAATATAACTGATCATGTTTTATGTGTTAAATTTATGTAAGTCCTCTTCACTGTAAACTGTTACATTCTTCCTTTCAAAGACTCCATTTTGGAGTGTGACCTATTGATACAGTTAAACTATTTGGTTTAATACCAATGGGAACTAAAATGCATAGTTTTTATGCATTTTAAACTGCCCTAATAATAAGACACACTTAACAATTAAAAAAGAAACATGTCTTTATGTCAATACACCAAAACCTACCAAATGACCTCTTCCATTTATTGCTCTATTGATTGAAATAAAAAATTTTTCTTTATTTTTTTGTTTTACCCACATATTCTTGCTGAAGAACATTAATAACTAGGAATACTCAGGAATATATTAACATCTTTATAAGGAAAATATTTATTATGCTAATTATGTGATTTTTTAAGAATATGGCTTTCAATATTTTACATAATGAATCACCTGGATAACATTTTGAAGTTGAGAAAACAAGTTATATTTAAATACCTAAAGCAGCTTTAACATCCCAGTGGTACCTTCCACAAACCCTTCATCCAGCCAAACCAATTTACCCACTACCTCTTCCGATCACCCTTTCCACTTTCCCACCTTTGTACCTCTGTTTAAAGCTTAACGTTGGAATGCGCTTCTTTCCTTTATTGTAAGCACACAAGCTATTCAAATGAGATTTAATTGCTTTGTGAGCTTAGGTAAGCTTTCTGTATGGTATGGTCCTTTAGGGCACTGACACAGATTTGTATCTCCTGTAACACTCAGCACTATAACTTTTTGTCTGATACAAATGTAACAGGCATGAATAAATAATGTCTGCTGAATGAAGAATATCTTAGGACTGAATTAAGAAATTATATAAACTCTGTCTCTCCTCTGAAAATTTAGAATTCATTCTATAAAATTAGCAAATGGAACTTTACTCAAGTCATTTCTGAGTGTTAGACATGTCACTACTTTAAAATGCTACTTTGAAAAGCAGAGGTTATATAAATGCATATGTGTGTGCGTGTATGTATATGCGTATGTGTATGCATGCACACATTTGTGTATGTGTGTATTCAGACTCTGCAGAACGGCTAAAACTAACATTATTGCCTTGGAAACACTTTTTTTTAGTTGTTGAAAGCCTACAGTTTCCAAGTTAAGCATAGAATAATCGAGTTATTCAACTTTCACATCAGAATTAACTGAAGTAAGTAACTAATTTTTTGATGATATACCTATTCTGCACCATAAAAGAACAATTAATTCATAAAAATAATTCAGGTACCAACAAGACACAACTCATGACAATCTAGTAGCCGTCATTTACAAAATTTGCACTTAATTTTAAAACAATCAACAAAATTATCCTCTGGATTCAAGGGGAAGAAAAATAAACTCAAACACTTTAGAAGCTAGACACACTTTTTAACCAAAGTTCTAGAAAAAAGTTACAAAATTTTCAGATTACAGTAAAATGTCTTACATAATACTGTTGCATGGTTTATGTATAGAAAATACATTTTTATTTCATTAAATTTTAAAATTTCAAGTATCTTCTGGTATAATACTTCAAAAAAGCATATTAAAAGTTTTGAATTTTGTTATAACTACACTCTAAATTCTCTAAGAGTTATAAGAAATTTCTTTGTCAAGTTTAAAATTTAACTTATCTAACATAATTTGCTAGTAATTTTTTTTGGTGTCAAAATTAAAATGGCATATATCAGAGAATAAAAAAATCAGTTATGTTATATACACACATACACAAAGTAACAGATTTGTACAAAATAAAAATATACATACATAACACAACAGACTAAAGATCTTGGTAAAGCTGATTTTCTGAGAATGTTTCAGTGAGAGAAATCTGTGTTCACAACACGCCTTCAGAATCATTTTTCTTGCCTTTCATTCGTTTCTTTCACTAGGCATTAACTGCCCATTAAGCTTCAAGAGCAGTTTTACAACGAGACCTGCCTACAAAACAGGACGGTAGTATGAAGCTGATCATAAGTTAAAGTGTATAAAGTATATCTATGGCAAAATAACATTCCCCATTCTTTTGAGAGCAGCCTGCTCCTTGACCGAAAGCTTTACAGAGTGACTAAGAAATGAGTGACTTTATCCACTGAGGCTGCTGAAGGCACTGAAATGTGATCCAGCTGGATGAAGCTATTTGGCAAGAAGAAGATGAACTGTTACCTTGGCAAAAGAGCCAGGGAAAATGGCCAATCAAGATAAATCGACAGGAGAAACTAGGAGGCATTAAAAGCCACGTGAGCTACCTTGTGGAAGTAAGGCTAGAGCTTCATATGTTTAAGGAAGGCTGCCACTCCTTGCTTTTTACACATGTCATTACTTTAAGTTAAGCAATTATACCGGAGAGCCTTCTTGAAATGAAGTATTGCCATTTTACTTAAAAAAGAATGGGCTTTAACAAATATGGCACCTTGGTTCTATCAAATAACTCTAACATTAAAGCAGGACCTACCTGTTTGGTGTGTACTATAAAGCTCATTTTATTTTCCAGACTGTGAATTTGAAAGCAGGTATCAGCATCTCCCAACTGCCACATAAAGCAACCATACTTGAGACTGATGAGTAAAGTCTGCAACAAAATCAGAAATGATCATTGACTTTGGATGGTATCCTTGGTGACAGCCAAAGCAGCTCTTTCAGGTCTGAGCATTTGATTAGAAAATTTGTAATAAAGACTATGTTACTCCACAGTGAGTTCTACAATAAAAAGAGGCTCAAATGAAATGAGAAGTAGAAAGCATTATATGTTATATCATTAATGTCAGCTATTATGATTATATGTAAAACTCTTTGTGGAATAGGGTTATCCTAACCCCACAGAGACTCTCAATAGCTGCATGTAAAAGTGATCTTTAAATCATTATTCCTAAGAAACTGCCATATTAACAAGAAACATGTTTACTGATTTTTAAAGAAAAAGTACATTGAAAAATTAGCATACTTTCCTTTCTGTACGGATAATAATTCATCCCTTTGACATACACCAGTTTTCTAAAGGGCCACAAGGGCTCTTCAATCACAATGTTAGAATGCAAAAGTAACAATGATACATATTTTGCTATTTTACTACTCTTAAAATAATACATTTCTAAAAATTTTATGGCTCTATTAATGTCTATGTCACTATTTACATGTTATGTTCAACATGCCTATGCTTATTCTTAAGCACTAAAGAACTGTGGAATAAATAGTTAGTTCATATCCTCCCCCTTCCCCCCCTTTTTAATAATTCTCTATATGTCAGCAGAAAAATTTTTTCCTGAAAGATGAGAATCATTTGAGAGAAGACTGTTTTGGCCTTTGCTTTAATAATAATTTTCGCAGAAAGTTAGCTAATTTACATTGTTTAAAAAGGTTATGAACTATACATTCTTAATTTTACATTTAATACTGAGGCAAGTGACCTACCACCATCATGGATTTTTTCCTAGGAAAAAAGTTCCAAGGAAACGCCTGGAGCCGATACTAATTTTCCCTCTATACCTGTACCTCGCTATACTTTCATCTGTATTTCAAATACCTAAATTCAAAAGAGATGAATTTTGTATGAAAAAGACTGCGATCTTTTTATGGATGTAAACGGTCTTTTAAAAAATGCTGAAGCTGAAGTGCTTATACTCTGTGGCCACCCTTGCTATCAACCTGTCCAAATGTCACTAGGTTGGTATGTTAATGAAAGACATATAAGTCATTAAAAGGCCTTTCCTTAAAAGCTGGCAGATCTGCCAGAGTCTGTCTGTACCCCAGAAACAGATTCAGCCTTTGGGAACTCATGACTGCCTCTTTGCTACAAGGCAGCTTCTGAGTAGGCCCCTATGGAAGAATTACATTTATAGCATAATAAAATAAAAAGTTCAGAATGACAATCCTTGGTCAACAAGGAAAGGTTAAATCACACTCAGTATATTCTGTTTAAGAGGGATAACTTCTGGGGCAGCTAGGTGGCACAGTGGAAAGAGCACAGGCCCTGAAGTTAGGAAGACCTAAGTTCAAATCCGGCCTCAGACCCAAACACTTGACACTTACTAGCTGTGTGACCCTGGGCAAGTCACTTAACCCCAATTGCCTTAAAAAAACAAAACAAAACAAAAAAAACAATACAATGATCCAAGACAAATCCAAAAGACTCATGATGGAAGATGCTATCCACATCCCAAGAAAGAACTATGGAGTCTGAATGCAGATGGAAGCATACTATTTTCACTTTTTTTTTTCTTTCTCGTGGTTTTTCCCTTTTGTTCTGATTCTTCTTTCACAATATGACTAATGTGGAAATATGTTTCACAGGATTGTACATGTATAACCTATATCAGACTGCTTGCTGTCTTGGGGAAGGGGAAAGGAAAAGAAGAAAAATTTGGAACTCAAAATTTGACAAAAATGAATGTTGAAAACTATCTTTACATATAATTAGAAAAAAAATAAATATTATTAAGGGGGAAAAATGATGGTGCTACTGAATAGAAATGGGCATAATGCATTGACTAAATTTAGAGCCTCATGTTGTGTATTATTCTAAATACTAAGCTTTCTTTCTCTCATAGCAAAAAAAAGTTATGATTGATAAAGGGTTTGAAATTTTAAAAACTTGAGCCTTTATATGAGATATTAGGATTGTTAAAAGTCTACTTGCTATTTCAACTGATAGGAAAGGTAGGTCCTACTTCACACGCACTGTCTAAAACAATGGAAAATTTATTTACCTTAGTTTCCATATTGAGGAGATGTAGTCCTTTTACATTCACGCCTACATAAACCCGAATGACTTTATGGCTGCTGGAACTTGCTTTTGTAAATACCTGTCCTGTAAAAAAAGCTGCTCCATATGTGGGAATTTCCCAGCAATTCTGTAAGAACATGCGTTGAAGGTGGTGCATTTCCTTACTGACACCTTCACTTGTGCTAAGATTCTAGAAGCAGAGGTGAAAGAGAAAAAAGAAAAAGGGTAAATGATAATAAAATTCCACTACTCTGACCACCACATTAGACTGCCACAAAGAAAGCAATTTCATATAACCAGGACTATTTAAATTTGAGAAAATTATTAGTGTCTTGAAGATTTAAACAGATTTTGGTTGTAAAGTGCCTAATGGTGCCCCAGAACTGTATTTTCTAATAGATCTAAACAATACATTTTAAGAGGAATACAAGGAAGGTGATAGTTACTTATCTAAAGGCACATTTCCCTCTAATATGTATCGATTGCTAAGGCCACTGATTTGATAAAGCAATACAATCCCTCTGTCAAATGACAGGCTTGTACTAGATGTCTATGAGGTCCCTTTTGGCTTTAAATCAAAGACCCTCTAACCCAGCGGTAGGTAACCTCTGAGGTTACCTACCGCTGGGTTAGAGGGTCTTTGAATCCAAAGTCAAAGAGCCGTACTTGAGAAACTAGAGGGCCACACATGGCCTTGAGGCCGCAGGTTCCCCAACCCCACTCTAACCCTCCAACTGGTTCTTCTCTTCCCACGATTTATCTCAATTTCAAGAACAGCATCAGCAGACTCACTTCATTTTTTTGGCTGTGAGATTATAAAAAATCTCATTATAAAAAACAAAAATATTTCTAAATTCCAATTTAATAAAATACCAAGTTGTGTATTAAGAGTTTTAAATATTTCTATTAAGTGTTTACCTTGTATTCATGAAGTATTCTATTTGTCCAGTGAGGTGCCTTACTCTTCAGTTTGGTGATTGGAACTATGGATTTTAGATTTTCTTCACTATAACAAACATAACAACATATGTTAAATAAATAATTTGAATAGCAAAGAACAATGATTTAGTGAAACATGATTAAGATTTTAGGAAGAAAATATTAACTTCAAGTTGACCAGCTAAATATAATGTAAACAATCTTGTATGATACAAGCTTCTGGAAGGCAGGAATGGCTTAATTTTGCCTTTGTATCCCTAACATGTAGCACAGTGCTTAGAACACAGGAAGTACTTGATGAATGCCTGCTGTTCGATCTGTACGGTATCAGAATGCTCCACTTTGAGAACTATCACTGTAGCCTACCAAGTTAAAGGAAATAGCAGGTCTATTTCCTTCTGTCAGTAGCCCTAATACAACCCATTCCCCGCCCCTCCACTCCAAGAAGCTGTCTAATTCTGTACCAAACCAACTTCTTAAAAATGCTTATGGACATTACTAATAGCAACTGGAATATATTTACATTAATCAGAATATCTTTGTGTAATTAATGTTATTTAAACACTTACTTGAGGAAACCTTGTTTGTGCTTTTTACTTTCATAATTCCCATAAACGATCTGCAACAGTAGACTCGCCAGTGTTATCAACTTAGCATCAGGAGATGTATAAAAGCCTTTCAGCAAATTATATCTGGCTTCATCAAAGAGAATAAGAATGGCTAGTGGGTCCTCAATCTTTACAAGGAAAAAGAAAAGTATGATTAACATACTACATTTTCTTCTTACAAAGTCACTTTCTTAAAGGGAAAAAGATAAAGGTACAACTTGAACACTACTGAGGTATTGCTATTGAAATTAACGAGGTTAAAAATATGGATATTTCCAACATCTCAATTAATTCTAATGCTTTTCTAACATTACACTATATTTATGCTTTGCAGATCATTAAAGCTTTAAAGTTTCTAAATATATACTTCTATCAGTTATGTAGAAATGTTTCCTTTTTGTTCCTCAAAACAGGCAAAACTTAAGGTAAATATTTCACAAAGATTCTAATTTATAATGGCAAAAATAATGATTGTTTTTATGCTGTACATAACTGAAATGAGAATGTTCATTTATCTGAAATCCTTTTACTTAGACAGCTGGTGGTAAAGTGGATAGAGTACTAGACTTAGAACAGAAGTTCTGAGTTCAAATATGGCCTCAGACACTAACTAGCTGTGTGATTCTGGGCAAGTCACTTTACCTTTTTGCCTCAGTTTCCCCATATGCAAAATGGGGATAATAATAGCACCTACAACCAGGGTTGTTGTGAGGACTAAATGAGATAATAATTGTAAAGCACTTAGCACAGTGCCTGTCATTTGTAAGCACTAGTAAGTATTAAAACTATTATTAGTGTCACCTATTTGAAAAGAGTGTTTTAAATATGAACATATATACTTATATTTTTAATCTACTGCCTCTGCAACTTTACATGGGCTTTCTCTTATCCCTGGGATGCCTTATGTCTTTGCCCTCCCCCTCCTGGACTCTCAGGCTTCTTTCCAGATAGCTCAGGTCCTATCTTCCTACAAACCTATCTTCCTACACAAAAACCTTTCCTAATGCTGTTCTGGTCCCCTGTTCTTAGTGTTTTACCTCTTTGACCCCCAAATCATGTGCTGCATCCTGATGTATAGAAAGGTACTTCATAAATAGGAATTACTGTCAGAGTGTAAGCTCCTCAAAAGGCAGGGGCTGTTTCATTTTTGCTTCTGTATACATAGGGCTTTACATAACAGTGCCTGGCACACAGTAAGAGCTTAATAAATGCTTAATGAGTTAAAACAAACAGACATATATGAACGACATTAAATTAGATGAGCTAAGGAATAACACTTAAGTAATTCAATTCACTCTTGATCAGAGTGTAATTTATGTAATTTGCAATGTCATCTTCTGCTTCTTCCTCCCAGTGCAACTCAAAATTATTAAAATCCTATTTGGTAGCCCTAGTAGGAGAAAAAAATTATATTTCTGGATAATGTATGAATTTTCATATATCTACGAAACTTTTTATTTTATGCTGACAGTTTTTCAGAGATTACATGGAGATTCATTTGACTGCTAATATGTTTGTCTTTATGTGTAAATGATGTTCTCTTAGGTAGCAATATAAAGAAGTAGGATTTTTTATAAGTCTGGATTTTGCAGTCATTTTCAGTTGTGTTCAACTCTTTGTGACCCTTTTTGGGATTTTCTTGGCAAAGATACTGGAATGGTTTGCCATTTCCTTCTCCAGATCATTTTGAACATGAGGAAACTGAGGCAAACAGGATTAAGTGACTTGTCCAGGGTCACACAGTAAATGTCTGAGGCCAGACTGAAACTCAGGAAGATGAGTCTTCCTGACTCCAGGCCCAGAGCTTTATCCACTGTGCCACCTAGCTGTCATAAATATGGACAAAGACAGTGAACTTTTTTGACTTTATATGTAAAGACATTTAAAATGTAAATCCCTCTAGAAAAGAGATGAGAAAATCCAGGCTATATTTTTTGCTGTCATGATGTAACTTGATCTTGAAATGATCAATTTTCTTCCAATTTCCACAGGGACCACTTCAATCAGAGCCTCAGACCTATCTCATCTACCATCTAGTGTATCTTAGTATCAGGTCTTTCCCTTGCCAAATTCATCCTACACACAGCAGCCAAAATAATCTTCCTTGAGTGCTATTTTTAAAACAGCATTTCTATTTTTAAAATTTTGTTTAAAAATCTGTTTAGGAACAACTTTCTAGCCCAACAAGCAGGCAGTCCACCAAACAGACACCATTCCACCCCAATCTAGCCAACCTTATTTTGTTTTACTAACAAAGGCAGATTTTCTACTTTAGAGAAGAAAACTAGATGGTTATCAACAACATCTCCAAATAGCTTTCAACTGTTTTTTCGATATATAATTTCCTCCACCTAGAAAGTATTACCCATTCATATTCATTAATCCCTGTCCTCTCCTTCTTTTTAAAACTTACCTCTTTAGGGAAACATTTTCTGGTCAGTCCTACAAAAATTATCAATAGTTTACTCCATAAATCCTCAGGACTTATGTACCTAATATGCAAAGTATTGACCTATAAATTTCACTTATATTGTAGCTTCATAATTATTGTCAAGTACTTGAAAGTATCTATTCTGTATCTGTATTCTGTTTATCCAACTACCTCACAGCTTCTCTGGTTAGCTCCTCTCAATTTTCTGTATCTGTCCCCAAGGACTTGGTATAATGTTCTATGATGATAGGTTCTCAACAAATGGAATCACTGCAAAGAGGATTTATATGCAAACCTTTTTCTCAACTTCCAACGGAAGTCTCACATCTCTTCTTAGAAAAAGCTGTGGTGTTTCCCTTTGAGGATCCAAATTTGTCAATTCATTCAGTATTTCTGGCCAGTCACGAACATGTTGTAAGGGTTTGTGATAGGGCTTCAGCTGAAGGCCTGAAAAAAAATCTTTCCTTTTATAAATGATTACGTATAAGTGAATCAATCGTATCCATGCATAGGAAGTGCAAGGCAAATAGTTAAATCTAAATACTAAAAATTCATACAAATTAGGAGACTGGAGGAGATACAAGGGTGGTTATAGTGGAATGACCAGGATGGTGACAGGGACCTGGAAGGCCTTCAAGAAACACCTGCAGAGTTTACCCCTATTAGCAGAGCCATGGCTGGGTCAGATGCCTAACTATGCCAGAGATAGCAAAGCCGGGAAGAAAATTTGTTCTTTGTTTCTGTATCACGGGGAGAAAAAAATTCCACACAGTAAGGAGAGTAATGAGAAGAATGGCATCTCCTCTTGATTTACAGATGGCCAGGCCAGCCAGCATACACAATCAGATGAGATTTCCTATTGATTCATTTTAAAATTAGAGATGTGATCTAATAAACTGAAGTATGTCTCTTTTACATATGGCAATATGTCTATATTCTGAATATTTGAATGAAAAACATGGATAAAGAATCATAATTTCTACCCAATTAACTATATTTTTATTTATTAGTATTCTATATGTTGCTATTGTGTTTTTGTATCTTCTCTATTACAATAAACACTTGGACTTTTAAAATAACTTGACCTGATGGTTATTTATATCTGACAGGCCTTGTGAATAATATCAACAACTACAATCTTAACAATGTGCTGTTTTTTTCCCTCCATGAGTGGCAAACGTAAATCAGTTCCCATCTTGAGCAGTGAAAATTTTTCCTGAAGTACTATTTTACATTGATTCTCTGTACACATACATACACACACACACACACACACACACACACAACAAAGATTGTTAAAGGAAAAACACATCTTCCTGATCATGTGAACACATTATTTGTACTTTTTACTTCCTTTAAATTCCAGTTTTACCTAAATGAAAAAATCATCTTCTAATAGTCATTTAGAGAGAAGAGCACTAGATTATGCTTTCTTGTTACAATATATTTCTTTAAAACTTCTGAAAATTTCTGCACGAAGCTCAATTTCCTCAGGAAGAAACAGTTTTCACTTTCGGCTCTTTATTTCATTCAGTAATAGTACTACTTTACAGTTCTCTGTCTTGAAAAGAAAAAGAAATCTCATTTCTTCCCTTTCTATCAACTCCTCCCTAAACTAGGGGATCATAATATATTCTAATGCTAAAATAAATATGGAATATTTGCTAATTATAATGCTAAAACAAATAGAAGATAATGCTAAATAAATTATATGATAAAAGAATTATTTTCCTCCTGGACAATGTGACAAAAAAGTTCTGAAAGACTGAGTTTCTGGGGAAATTTAAATTAATTTTATTGACTATGTCTTAAAAGGCAGTCAACAAAACAGGCTCCTTCTCCGCTCTATGGCCAAAGAGAGCGAACCCCTTGAACCTTTGATATTTATGAGGTCTTTTGAAAAAAGATTTTACCTGAGGATGAAATCAGCTCTGACTGGTCAACAAGGGAGTGAACATTATAATGGAAGGTGGGCTATATATTAAAATGAGAGTCCTGGGGGATGTGACCTGTGTCACCCAAATCTTGGTTAATCGAGACATCAACTTCCATAGCACTTGTTAAGACAGAAAGAAAGAATCAACATTTCCCCAGACCTGGCTTGAGAAACATAATGAGCAGGAATGCACCCATTAGCCCAAACTTAGAATTTCTTTTACTGTCGGTTAAGATCTTGGCCTGAGTAAATTTTTAAGAGAGATTTCCCACACTGGTTGGTTTCTGGGTGAGGAAGTAGGAAAGGGGAAAAACCTTGGTCCTAACACAATAATGAGTTATTAAATATAAGAGAGAAATATTCATTTCTAACAGCAATCTGCCAAAAACAAACATAAGATTAATTTTTCTCAGTAAGGATTCATACATTATTCCTTCTATTTTACAGATGGATACATTGTTAATATTAAAAATTCTACCTAATCTTAAGGAAAATGTTAAGTATAGAACAAAACAAACGGCAAAGAAGAGATAGTACAAAGAGCAAAATAAAACTAGTAGATAAGATTGTAGAAACATTTTGAAAATGTTGAATTTTCAGTTTGGTAACATAGTAGCCCCCAAGGCATTACTTTAAACTTATCAACAATATTTACAATATAATAAAATTTTTCTTACTGAGGTTCTCTGAACAGATCCAAATAGTAAAATACTGTTGTGTTTCATGAGAGAGACGCATTCCTTCCATAATCTGCTGTACTGTGGTATTGTTTCCATGTTTTAGTTCAACAGAACGGTACGATCCATCCATTCGATATATCCGTACCTTTTCATACTACAGTAAAGAGTAAAACCATATGTTACGTTAAATAGATTTCTACTATGCAAATATCATCTAGACTGGTTAGTGTTCAAGTAAGAATTTGCTGGCTACATTTGTTGACAATTATCCAACTGCTAGGTCCTTTAACCATTTATATACAACTTCAGGATATAATCAATTACCTTTGTGGCCCAAGAAAGAAGGTGGTTCATTCTTCATTTAAGTGAAATGATCAAGATTAATTGACTTGCCCATTGTCACACAAAATATATATACACAGACATACAGTCCCCTCCTCAAGCTTTCTGCAAGAAATTTAACAATTCCTGTCATATGAAAAAATGCTATAAATCACTATTGATTAGAGAAATGCAAATCAAAACAACTCTGAGATACTACATCACACCTATCAGATTGGCAGGAAACCAGAAAATGATAAATGGTGTGGGAAAATTAGAACACTAATGCACTATTGGTGGAGCTGTGAAATGATCCAATCATTTTGGAGAGCAATTTGGAACTACGCCCAAAAGGCTATAAAAATGTGCATACCCTTTGACCCAGCAATAGCACAACTAGGGCTGTATCCCAAAGAGATCATAAAAATGGGAAAAGGACCCACATGTAAAAAAATATTTATAGTAGCTCTTTTTGTGGTGGCCAAGAATTGGAAATTGAGGGGATGCCAATCAATTGGGGAATGGCTGAACAAGTTGTGGTATGTGAATGTAATGGAATACAATTATGCTATAAGAAATGATGAACAGGCGGGCTTTAGAAAAATCTGGAAAGACTTGTATGGACTGATGCTGAGCAAAGTGAGAAGACCAGGAGAAGGTTGTACACAGTAACAGCCATGTTGTGTGATAATTAACTTTAATAGACTTAGCCCTTCTCAGCAATGCAAGGATTTAAGACACCTCCAAAAATTTCATGATGGAAAATGCTATCTACATCCAGAGAAAGAACTATGGAGTTGGAATGCAGATCAAAGCATATATTGGCTATTTTTTTTCTTCTGTTTTGTTTTGTTTCCTCTTTCTTGTGGTTCCTCCTATTGGTTCTAATTCTTCCTTAACAACATGACTAATGTGAAAATATGTTTAATAGGAATGTATATGTATAGCCTATATGAGATTGCACGCTGTCTTGGGGAGGGAGACGGGGAAGGGAGGGAGAAAAATTTTAAACTCAAAATCTTATGGAAGTGACTGTTGATAACTCAAAATAAATTAATAAAAAACAAATTAATAAAAAAAAGAAATGATGAGCAAGTAGACTTCAGAAAAACCTGGAAAGACATGTATGAACTAATGCTGAGTGAAATGAACAGAACCAGGAGAAAATTGTACACAGAAACAGCCACACTGTGCGATGACTAACTTTGATAGACTCAGTTCTTCTCAGCAAGGCAAGGATTTAAGACATCTCCAAAAGTCTCATAATGGAAAATGCTATCCACATCCAGAGAAAGAACTATAGAGTTGGAATGCAGATTGAATCATACTATTTGCTCTTTTTTTTCCTTCTGTTTTGTTTCTTCTTTCTTGTGGTTCCTCCTATTGGTTCTAAATCTTCTTTAGAACATGACTAATGTGAAATTATGTTTAATAGGAATGTATATGTAGAGCCAAATGAGATCACATGCTGTTTTGGGCAGGGAGGCAGGGAGGGAAGGGGAGGAAATTTAAAACTCAAAAGCTTATGTAAGTGAATGTTGAAAACTAAAAATAAGTTAATAAAAAAAGTTAAAAAGAAATTTAAAAAAAAGAAATTTAATAATTCCCAAAAGTTGGCATAGGAGAAATCTTTAGGAGTCTCTCTTTAGTGGTCTAAACTCACTGAAAAAAGTTTGGTTAATGACTTAAAAGTCAGTAAATGATAGGAGGGTGGAACAGATTTCAGACTTTCCTGGCCTTGTGAGAAGGGAAGAATGGGAGAAAAGGGGGTTTTAGGGAATGTGGTGGCACAGAGGAAAGCCAAAGTTTTGCTAAAGATGGAAACTCAAGGGTGTAGGGAGTTTGTGGACAATATAGTGAAGAACCCAAAAGGCATGGTAGAAGTGGCTTAAGCAATGGATAAATTGAGTTGGAATGGAACTGAGGATGAATAGGGGTAAGGGTTCTAGAGGAGGTAGTATAAGTATACCACTTGTACCACAGGCAGGATGACCATGGCTGGGGAGCCAATACAACTGGAGGTTGATAGCTGTGGTAAAATCTGGAAAATTAATTCAACCCAGAATTACGATAATATGATTTAGAACTTTGACGTTTCAGAGTGTGGGCCTTTACAAGATCATCTTCTTTAGGGGTGCTTTAGCTCCTTTACTGAGGGAGGAAAACCTCCAAACCCTTGTCCCCCGATCATCTACCATTCTCAACATATAAACCCTTCATCCTTCAGCAAGAAACACTATCTAACATAGTTACTTCTGCTCCAGCCTGCTAAGTCTCAATGAAGAAAATTTCACCTACTACAAATTCATGATAGTTGACCTCAGCTGGGTTGTCACTGATGCTCAACTCCCCTATTTTACCTTTATCAGCTTTTTACTTCACCCTAACAGCAACTGCTACAAACCTTCTCTTTTTGCCACCAACCCTGCTGCTGACTTCCACATTTACAACAGGTGACCCTTCTTTTCTTCCTACTTTTTTTTTATTTTTAAATTTTTTAATTTTTAGGTAGTTGGGGTTAAGTGACTTGCCTAGGGTCACACAACTAGTAAGTGTCAAGTGTTTGGTCTGAGGCCACATTTGAACTCAGGTCTTCCTGACTCCAGGTGCTCTACCTACTGTGCCACCTTGCTGCCCCAAATCAGACATGGAGGTGAGAAAGGAAAGTGGCTATTTGAGACTCAGGGTGGCCCAGGAGGTTTCTACAATGCTTGGAGGGGATGAATGTGAATGATTCCCAATAGGTATGAACTGAAAGCCCAATTTAAAATAGCTAGGGCAGAAAATGGTTTGATTACTGACCACTGAAAGAGGAAGACAGAAAGTCACTAAGTTCTGAGTTAAAAATCTAGTTTTTAGCACTTGGTAGTTGTGTGACCTTAGGCAATTCAGACAACCTCTAGGGATCTCCCATAACTAAGACTCATCTAATAAGTCACAGAAGAGTGGTGACCTCTTTTGGTGGAGGAAATTCCCACTGACACAGCTTCTTTGGTTAACTGTATATTGATACTAGGGAAATCCCAATATTTTTCCATGACAATAATATGATTACTAGGGGATATACAAAACTCTGTAATAATTTAAAGTAATAGGATTTGCTCCAAGTCTAAAAATATATGCATAAATGTACAGCATACTCTGATTATATGTGGGACTCTTATGTACTATAAAGTACAGATACAGAGACACAATAAATGTTTGTGGATTGCATGTATGTGTGTATGTGTGTGTTTGTGTGTGAGTGGCAGTGCAACACAGTGAATACATATGCATATATCACATTAAAATGCTGCTGTATAATAAATTTGGTCTAACACTATGTAAGGTGTAACAAAAATTTTTAATTAGCCTAACTTTTTAAGATGGTGAAAGGCTTTTAAAAATGCAGTTTACTGATATCTTTTGTCTTTTCACAGTCGTTTCACTCCCTCCTTCCCAGAAGAGCAAAACCCAAAACAAAAAATACAAATCCCTTTTAATCATCCCTTTTGCCACTAGATGGCAGATGCAAAAAGCAAATTTGAATGAGTAAAAGCCAAGCACATGAGAAACTAAGCAATGTTGAGTGTACTCAAAAGGCACATTGAAGAGAATTGTAAAAGATGAGGGTTGCCAGTATTTGTTTCCTCTGGCAGTTTCCCCACTCTGTCCTCTTCTCTTTTCTCAGGATTTAATGTGACTGAGTGACACTGAGAGTAGATATTATGGGGCAGTGACATTATGTATCTCAAAGAATTAATTTTTTTTTTTATATAACAAGAGTTTTCTTTTCCTCCCTCCTCCCCACTGACAAAAAGAAAAACCCAACACTTGTAAGCATGTAATGTGAACTGTAAAGCCTCATTAGCAAGTGCCCAGGAACCCAGGCTCCCTCCCCATGCCATAAACGTGGCCGGGAGAGCTGGGGGTAGGGAGGAAGGAGACAGGAGATCTCATTATGGATAAAAATGCTTCTCCCTTCCCTTAGCAAACATAATGTATGTAGTATCACAGACTGATAACACAGAACTAGCTCAAATTGTGCTAGAAACAGGAGTTTGCTGTAATCCTAACAGTGACCTCTCCATTTCTCCCTGGCCCTGACTTGTACTATGTACTCAGAGAATTAATGTCTGTCATCTGACAAATTAAGGTATATTATACTATGTTGCAAATACAGAAACATGTTCAAACAAATCCTATGTAAAAGATATTTACAAACAAGAAAGATTGTGAAAGGAAGATTAAAGAATCTAGGGTTGAGTGGAAACAAAGTGTACAAAATTTTCAGATGGCTACAAGGAAAAACTCCTAGAAAAGGCATCCACAGCCAGAAATGCTGAGCATTCTTGGGGAAGACTATGGGTAGGAAAGACTGAGGCCCTGAAGAAACAACAGTTTGTAAGTGAGCCAGAAGGAAGAAAGTCAAGTGTGGCCACACAATACTCCTACCACATGCTGGGAAGGTCAGAAGAAAATGGACAACAAGAAAGATGGTTGGCATGTGGCAACTATAGGAGAAGTCCCAAGGGTGCAAAGGTCAAACACTGGTATCCCTTTAATTTACCACTAGCTATACTACATGGACATCCCTTGTCCCCTCGACCTTCTGACACTCTAAGCAGAGAACCACAGATCAAGCTGGATTCAATCCAAGCCCTGGTAAGATCTTGGGACTCATCCAGGATTTGAATCAGGGTCCTTTCGATCCAGATACTAAGCCCTTCTGTTGCTCTAGGCTGCTCAGAGTTACTGGAGAAAAGTCACAAGGCTGAGCTCCAGCCACCCACTACAAATTCAAGGTATGCTGTAACTAACAAGTCAAGTTAGTGATGTATTTGTGGTAAAAAATAATGCTGCATCTTCGGGGAAAGTCTATATTTGGGTACGGACAGAGTATTATAAATTCTTTGAGGTAGAAACTACGCGTTCAAATTCTGCCTCTCAAAGCTTACAGAATGATCCCTACCCAATGGGATGTAACTAGGTTCAGTCCAAGGTCTAAGTAATTAGAAATCTCCACTATGGGCACTGTGCATCCGACTATATACTGCCTCACATTACTTGCTATGCCTCTCATATGTTAGCCATGTTTTCCTAGATGGCTTGGGCAGGGGTCACATTTTATTCTTCTGAATCCTTAAACACACCAGCAAAATGCAAGGCACAGAGAAGACACTCAACAGATCCTTGTTGCTTGATAACAGAGAAAGACTGGGTTGATAATGCTTAATATAACAATTTGAATATGGGTTTTCTTTCGAAAATTATTCTCTATAGTTTTTCAAATGGTTTATTTTGACATAAAAGTCTAATATCAACATTATTCTTATGAATATCTAAGTTTCCTTCAGTTGTTACCTTATTGTGGTGTGGAAGTGACCCTATGTTCTTAAAAGCTACACCAGCAAAGCCTATGTTATGAGAAGTCCTACCAAGATACAAAAGCTTAGAGTGTCTGCCCAACGTTGTGCTGTGCCTATTCTGAGGCTCACAGGCCGTGTCAGATCACGTAGGATAACGGTACCAATCCCCTCCTCATAGGGTGATGGATTTACCAGCCCCAGAAACTTTTTTTCTTTTTTTTTTTATTAACTTATTTTGATTTATCAACAATCACTTCCATATGCTTTTGAGTTTAAAATTTTTCTCCCCCTTCCTCCCCAGAAACTCTTAAGTAGGAGAGTAACTCAAAGTAGGAGAAGATCTGTGATCTATATTGCTGGAGAGAATACCTACAATGGAAAAATTATAGATTCTCTAAGTGCTTGAGAAACACTGTAAATTCAAATCACAATAAATTTCAGTCCTTTCAGTGAAATAATACATTAAACAGCAATATGTATCTAGAAGGGGCAGCTAAGTGGCACAGGGAATACAGTGATGGGCCTGGAGTCAGGAAGACTTGTCTTCATGAGTTCAAATTCTACCTTAGACACCTATGAGCTGTGTGACCCTAGGCAAGTCACTTAACCCTGTCTGCCTCAGGTTCCTCATCTGTCAAATAAGCTGGAAAAGTAAACAGCAAGAAAACCCCAAATGGGGTCACGAAGAGTCACACGTAATCGAAACAACTGAACAACAAAAATCCAGAACCACGCAAAAGGGACAAATGAAAACCTATTGATCATTCTAAGAAACAACTAAATGCAATGAAACCTAATTTGTCTATCTATGAGTGGTAAGCTACCCTGAATGAAAATGCGAATTTTTAAAAGATTTAATATATAACTTTCAAGCACATGCAGTAACTTGAGATAGTTTTAACATAGTATTCCTTAGTAGAAATCTTAAGGAGTAGGTTTGGCTTTAATGAAAACATAAATCTTTGAAGCCTCTGAAGTGGTTAACGCTACCTAAAAATAACGTTAACTCTACCAAAAAAATAAAAATATTTTAAGTATTTTGAACATTCTTCTTACAAATTTTATATTTTTGATTTGTCCTATCAAATGGAAAGAAAGTATTCGCAAAGTAAAAGTAAATGTCAGTATAGCTAGAAAAATCACAAATATGGAGTCATCAGAGTAATTTAATGAGTGTTTACTAACATGTAAATTCTAATCACCCAGCAATAATATCTGGTCCCTTGCCTCAGACCTGGAACTTGCACATTCAATGACTTGCCATCAATAATCTGTGCTACCTTGTCAAAGACTCATAAGTAAGAGATGAACTTAAAAACATTCACAGGGGCAGCTAGGTGGTGCAGTGGATAGAGCTCTGGCCTTGCAGTCAGGAGGACCTGAGTTCAAATCTGGCCTCAGACACTTGACACTCCCTGGGGCAAGTCACTTAACCCCGACTGCCTCACCAAAAAGCAAAAAAAACCCCAAAACAACCAACCACACACACACACACCCCAAAAACATTCAACAGGTCAAATCTATTTAAAAAGACAACTCCTACCGGTTTGTTTATGGCTTCCTTCAACAGTTTTGCCGTCTCTTCCCAGTCATTCTGTTTGTTTTCTTCACAGACATTTAAAGGAGACCTTCCTTGTTGGTCAATAATGTGCTGCAAATAAGAGGAAAAAAAAAAGGGAATTACAAGCATCATGCTATTTCTGAGCAGAAAGCTGATTAATGATCCCTAGAGTTTCTCCAAAACCTTAAACTTTGATTCTCAATAATACAACGGTAGGACAGCATTGTTGTGCCCTAATTCATAGCTACTGTTTACTACACTATGTTCTTCAGTCTTCAGTCTGTCACTTATGAAGTTTTTTGAAGTAATCAGTACTTTAGGTATGTTAAATACAGTCAATGACTAATGTTCAAAAACTTCATTCAGTGTTTACTGTTTTCTGATTATAGATACAACCAATGCTTTACAAAAGTTATTTTATTTTTCTCTTAAGAAATATTAATATGCATCCTAGAAGCAGAAGGAACATTTTATATGAAATTACTAGGATATTGGTTACATTCTTAAGTACAAAGGCAAAATGTGCACGTAAATATGAATTGTTTTCATCTACATGCATAAAATGATGAATACTTCTCAATGTGAGACTCTTGGAAAGGCTACAATTGAAAATTGTGGTATTATTACTTGTGTAATCACTATTTTTAAAAAGTGAAAGAACTTACTCTGTCCACTTCTGGATGGTTTAGAAGGATTTGCACTATTTCAACATGTCCTCCTCCAGCAGCAAAATGAAGGGGAGAACTAAGCTGTCCATTTAAGAGGTTTGGATTACACTTTCCTTTTTCTAACAACATGCGAGTGGCCTCAACTTTTCCATACCTACAGAAAACAGAACTTATTAACTAAAATAATCACCTGTGATTTATTTTTTAATCCTATTTTTAGACAATATTCCAAAGATCGCTAAGGTTTTCTAGGACATATAACAAGGGATTAAGACATTGACGTAAATGCGTATGGTGGCTAGGGGTTTCTTCAGAGTAGTTCTGGTTCAAGCTGAGTGTTTCTATTTCTGATGAACTGGGAGAAGACATACCTTCCAATACAAACTGAGGGGGAGTGGAAGTGGGGTGAAATACAAAGTAAAATAAAGTATAAGAAGGTGCCTGCCTATGTTGTTGATCAGTCACGTCTGACTCTTGGTGACCCCATCGGGGGTTTTCTCGGCAAGGATACTGGAGTAGTTTGCCATTTCCTTCTCCAGCTCATTTTACAGAAGTGAGGCAAATGGTTAAGTGACTTGCCCAGGGTCACACAGCTTGCAAGTGTCTGAGGCCAGATGTGACCTCAGGAAGATTCCAGGACCAGCACTCTAGCCACTGAACCACCTAGTTGCTCACTTAGAAGGTACAGATAAATAAATATATCTGAATTTTTAAATGAGGCAATTCAAGTGAATAAAAAATTAAGGGCCCAATTCAATAACTGCAAAATAATCTGAAGAAAAGAAGCTCATGAAGAATGTTCACATGACCCCAATAATCTGATGTAAACTAGGATCAACAAATTAGATTAATGAAGGAAATGAAGTAAAAATAAAAATCAAATCAATAAATATTCATTAGGTGTCTATTAATGCAAGATACTTTTAAATCCTGTAGAACAGACAAAGAGATATAAGGTATGTGTGGTCCTTTCTCTAATGGAGTTTACAATGTAGATGAGGAAATAAGATACAAACATGATAAAAAATAAGCTATACAAGGCTTAATTAACAACCCAATACAACAGCATAGGAAATGTTACAAGACAGCACAAAAAATAATATAGGAGTTCAAATGAGGGAGAGAGCATTTTAAGCTAAGGTCTGGCAACATTTTACAGGAAAAGGGAGAAATGAGTCTGAGTCTTTCAAACAGTGTAGAAACTGGACAGGCAGTAAAGAAAGGGATGGATGTAAATGGTCAGGGTAAAGAAGCAAACCACTCCGGTGAAAATGAAGAGTCAAAGAGAAGACTGAAAAGCTAGTGCTTTTTCCCTGATTTCCTAGGTAGTAGACACTTCCTCAATCCATACTTTACAAAGCTACCAGAATAATCTTCCTAAGGTGCAGTTCTGACCATGTCAAGCCCACATTCGTTTGAGGGGTTTCCTATTACCTTTAGATAAAACACACTCCCTTCACCTGGTTTTTAAGATCCTCCATGATCTGACTAAAATGTCTCTCCAGCCTTCATATTACTCTACTCTATGCACTCTAGCCAGATTCTGGTAAAAGCTGATGACCAGTTGAACTGAGCCTGATGTGCTCCTGCGTCTCTGTACCTGAACGGGGCATACGTCATCCCTGGAGCGTGATTCCTCCTCATCTCTGCTTCGTACAATCTTTATCTTCCATCTAGATTTGATTCAGGGGCTACCTATTACTTTATCTAACACAGCCCAAAGTATTTTCTCTCTTGCCTTTACATAGGACATTTTATTTGAATCTCATTCTTTCCCCCATCACTCTCTACCTTGTATTAGCTTATTTGAGGTACTAGTCATATCCTTTCCCACCACATCTCATCCTTCTTTCCCTGGTAAAATTAAAAGTTTCTGAAGGCAAAGACTTGTGCTATTTTTTTTTTAATCTTTGTATACTCAGCAACTTGCAGAAAGGCCTTATAAATATTCTAACAGATTTGCAATCTCACCTATTTGGGAGTTTTCTCCAGTGATGAAGATTGCAATCCATCAATCCTGTCTATCCTGCGAGACGCTTGTCTGTGCACTTTCCAAAGTTGACCCTAGGAAGTCCTTCCCCTTTCCTCACATCCAAAGTGTCAGGGGAGTATTCTGGCTACCTACTTGTCATCCTCTGTTCTGGCCATGTGACCAGTCCATCTTCTCTTCCTGTTATACAGGTACCTACTAATATTCCAACACTAATTACTGTCAACTGGTTACAGTATCAAATATACTAAGTACATGGGAACACTGTGCAAACATCAATTCCTCAAGGTAGTGACTGGTATCTTTTGATTTTTTAAATCATTACACAGAGTACTAGGACATTGCAGAAATGAAAGAAACATTAAATAATTACAATTTAAATAACACTGAAATCACAATAATCATAAAAAAGTAGAATATAACAATATTTTTAAAGAAAGAGATTTACCAGCATGCATAATGAATAGGTGCCCAGTGGTCATTATCTAACTGGTTTACTGAAAAACTATCATTGAGAAGCCGGTTTAACAATTCTGAATCTCCTTCGCAGGCACTTCGATGAAGAGGAAAATCGTCTACCCATTGATGTTCTCTAATAATGATAAAAGAAACGCAATTCAAAATGTACTTTAAAACAAAAAAGTGGGCATAACTGAATACTCAGTATACTAACAGACATTAAATATCAGTTTTAAGCTTAAGCAGAAGAATGACTGTTTCTATGTGAAAATTCATTAATATTTTATATATCATGATTTAATGGGTGTGAGTGCTTCCTTTCACTGATGCAGACTGCAGCTCTTCTACGACATGGCAGTCTTCAAGATTGGTTGGGGGGAAGGGTGGGGGGTATGTGGAAATGGCACCTTGTGACCAACAAGTTGGGCTAGTCTTTAGGTGACAAAATTCATCATGAGGCCCAGACTCAAAGCTTTTCTAGCTTGGTAGAACCTGCCCCAGCTTGTCCTTCATGGACATAGGATTCAAGAACCCAAGGTCACTTCTATTCCCCAGCAAGGGATCAGAGGACTTCAGTGGAGGATAGATTATACTATTTGTGTGTACTGAACTTTAAACAGTAATTCTAGCACTGGGTTGTAGAAAAAGAGGGAAAGTAGAATAAAAGCAAAACAGTACTTGTCTTCTGTAACACTGCTCATGCTTCTCTGCCATTTTTCTTGCTTAGGAATCTGAATCTTTGAATAATCTGGAGCTCCAAGGCCAAAGTATGGATTTATTACCACTTTATCTACCTGGTAAAGCAGGGGAAAAGAACCAGAAATTTGAACTATATAAGTGATAAAATCCTCAAATAAAACAAGCACTAATACCTGTTATTCTGATGTGCATAACTCATATTAAGGTTTTACAGAGAAAAACAAATGGGCACTTATGGACACCGTTCAACTGCTTTTGAAAATAGAAGTGGAGATTCTTTCAAATGCTTACTTACCCTGTTTGTATACTGAAGATCTGACCCAAACAAAGGGTTATAGATACAAGTATCTGCTTTTTCCAAGGCTAACATCTTACTTTTTATTTCTAATGCACTATAGCCCATATGAAGTGAGTTTTCTGTCTGGCTGGGTTCAGTGGCATATGCTGGGTTGATGACATTAGTTTTTATCCGCTCAAGAGGAGAAGGTCGGAATAAAGCTGGAATGAAATGAGATTGTGCGTGTCGCTCATCCAACCACCTGAAAAATAGGAAGGACAAACCATAGCAGTCCTTGTTCAGCAGTGAAGATGAACAAGTCAATATTCTACTTACAGGACAACCCTGAAACAACATATACTCAAACTGCCTTGATGGAGGTCTTGATTATTGTTACTAGTTAAGTAATTTACTTTGGTTTTGTGTTGCTTAAGGCACACAATAACACACCTCTTTTTAATATTCTATCTTTACATTAGTGATAATAAAACCTTTTTTTAAAAAGTAGGGTGTACTTTGTAACTTTCATTATGTTAATCTCCATAACATCACTGTAGCGTCAGTGGGTGGCAGCCTTATTTCACTAATGGAAAATTAATGGTGTAGGGGTTAAGTGATTTGTTCCCTAGTAGACTATTATCAAACCTGCCCCACAGTAGCATGCCACCTAGGCCACTGATCCATCTAAAGGACTGTGTTCCTTGTCATCATTTTGAAGAATTGAGACAATCTGCTGCAAACCCATAAAATCTGTACTGAGATTTGTCTAAAACATTTTTGTGTCTGTGTCCGGACCTGTGATTACATTTGTGTGGGGAATTCCTGGTGAGGGAACTCTCTCTACTGGTACCAATCAACAACTTAAGAGAATTCAGAAACATATATACAAAATAGCACGTTACATTACCATGGTACTCTCAAAAGCTGGCTATAAGGTACAGTTTTTTTTCATGTTTGAAGAATATTCTGAGAACATTTTATGTAACTTGAAATTTTTTTCTAATGACATTTCTTACTTATCCAGGGCAATTAACATTCTTGCTGTAAGAGCAGCAAAATGAGTGCTGGATTCACTACAGACTCGCATGATGTCTTGTAAACAGTAGAAAACTGGACATCCTGGACTATATGAATATTTAGTATTATCTAAAAAAGGGATGAAAAAAGTAATCAGACTCTCATGAAAGACTTAGTTACATAAATTCTTCATTTTAAAATAACACTTCGTTAAAATTGCAAGGTATATATCAAAACAGCAAGTCATTCCTCAAATGAATACAATATTATTTACAAAGAAACCTGGACAATTTGTTAACTCTGGCTCAATGGTTTGGAAACATTCTTACTCTTGGGATCTTCTACCATCTCTTAAACATGATTTTTTAAATTATTTTTATTTCTTTTTTTTTAGGTAATTTGGGTTAAGTGACTTGCCCACGGTCACACAGCTAGTAAGTGTCAAGTGTTTGGTCTAAGCCCCGATTTGAACTCAGGTCCTCCTGACTTCAGGGCCTACGCTCTATCTACTTCGCCACCTGGCTGCCCCCTCTTAAATACGATAAAGGCCAAACATTAACTCTGGGTGAAAGAGAGAAGCTACACTCCACTTCCTAAGGACAGTACCCAGGAAGACCAGAATGGGCTAATGTCCCAATAATGGTTTTTCTGGTTGAGACCTGTGATTTCACTGGTATACAGAATGCGTGGTGAAGAAATTCTCTCTCCCAAAAGCAAATCAGCATTGATTTGCAATTTAGTCCCACGGATTTGTGGGGGACCCTGAGAGATAAAGTGTCTTCACAAAACCAGTGTGTATAAGAAGTGAGACTTAAACCCAGGATTTTCTGACTCTAAGGCCAGTTTCTAGTCATTATGTTAGGCTGCCTTTCAAGCTACCACTGTCAGGCCCAACACAGGTTAGCTCTGTACAAACCAATCTCTAATTAAGCCTGGATTCAAAACACATTTTTCACAGTTTTTAGTTACGGCCATCGATTTTTGTCAGGTCACAGTTTTCCTTTTAGGACCGTGTTCTTCTCATTGCTACACATATCAAGCAGATGGTCACCATATCCTGTTGACTGATAAATATGTACCTGCTTCTCTCCTGTCTCCCTGTAAGAAAAGTTCTTGCTTATGAATTGACTGCTGTTAAAAACTAACTCCTACGCTGCCTTTTCTTTGGGTTACCTTTCTATCCCACATTTTAAAAGAAGAATAAAGAATAAAACATGTCCTAAATTTCATTTCGATTATCCATTACTTTCTCTAAACTGATACTAGAACTGATTGTTTTCTTTGATGTGTATGTTTTTAGACTATAAGCATCATCATCATTAACATTCATACCAATTTTTCAGTGCACATTAATTTAGTATCTACAGCTTATATGGATTCAAAACAAAACTGTACCTTTGACAACTGATGGAACAATAAATAAAGATGCCTCTCTGCCCACTTTCTCTCCATCAAGAGGAAATTTCTTCATCAATACCACTCGTTTTCCTTAACATATAAAAAATGCAACCAGTATAAAAAGACCTAAATTATTCAATTTAATAAATCTTGAGCATTAAAACATTTATGGACAAAATAGGACCCAACTTTAAAGAAAAATCCAATTAGCAGGGTACAGTCAACTCTTAAATCTGCAACAACAGAACTGACAAAACACTACATTACTACAACAATGAAGGATATTCATAATAGAGATAATGAACCCAGCTAGTTCAGGGCCACAGCCTGATTCTTCAGCAGGAGAATTTGATATGTGGAGCAAGGTAGTAACCTTGATCCACTTAGGGAATGGGGTAGCTGTTTATCAGGACATTGCTATTCAGGCCGGGTATCAGGGATGCTCCTGTGTTTCAAGGTGTAAACACTTTGAAGCCTTAACAGCCTGCCTATGGAGGAGGTGAATACAGAGTGTTGGCTGGAAGAAGCGGCGTCATGCAATCAGCCTTTGACTATAATGCTGGGTGGCTGAATCTCCTCTTCTATATAATGTCTTCCTTCCGGACCTCAGCCTTCAGACTCCTTTTATTTTTGGGGGGTGTGTGTGTGTGTGTGTGTGTGTGTGTGTGTGTGTGTGTGTGGCGGGAGACTGCGGGCTGGGACACTGCTGCTTTAAACGAACCTTCCATTTTCCCTATAACAAATTTCCTCATCTCAAGAAAAGAGCTTGTGGCACTGATGCAGCATAAAAGGTTTCTTGATAAGGACATGTGGATAAATATATGCATCAGATATGAGCAATTATAGTATATTCTTACTTAAAAATGACCTAAGTATTTTGCAAAATAGAAAATTTAACAAAATACAAGAGAGGATAAAGATATTTCTAATACAATTCTAAGGAAATAAAACAAGGACTGCCTCTGCTATTCTTTTAAAAAAAAGTGATATCCATTTTATCATTTCCCTGAATTATTCTCATTTTAATGCAATAAGAATTCAGTCCTGAATTTTAAAAAAAATCTTATAAAAATATTTTAAGTTTTTTTTTAAAATCTTAAAAATAACACTAATTATTTTAGGCCAGGAAATATGTGCTAGAAAATAAAATCAAATGGTATATGGTAGCCACTTCATTAGAAGTCTGAGAACTCCCCAAAGGACCTCACTATGCTGTAGATTCACCAGCCACAGGGATTTGTAGAGCCCTGTCACATCAGAAAGCATTACATGCTCTGCAGACTAGATTACTTAAAATGAGGAAATGATGACTAAAAGCAGAGCAGCTGGCAGGCAGTTCTGGTCGACTCTGGTTTCACTGTCACATGGATTTGCTGAACTGTACTAGACGGAGAGCCTCTGTTCACAGTCTTTCTAGATTCTGTTTTATAGTCTCTCAGTTCCCATTTGAACTCTGCCAATATCCTCAAGCCCAGTATGATAACCTGGAGTCTGAACCTTAGCCTTCGATTCTGTTTCAGCTGGTAACTGCCTCCCCTTTATTTCCAACTTTTTAACATTAACATCTGTTTACCTAGCTGGACAAAAAGCACCTGAGGGTTTGTTTCTTCAGCTTTGGCCAAGTACTCTGCTTCTTCTTTTGGACTCATAGTGCCAGTGGGCCTTATCTTTCAAAACTAAAGTGGACTTCCCTGTTGTGACCACTTTTTTACAACATTAATATGGCCTGGCCTGGCTCTCAGGCTTGATCTTCCCTCTTCAATTGCTGCCTATAATACAGCTATGACACTTCTTTTAAATGCCATTTTGGGCATTGTAATTATATACATTGTAAATATGTATTATAGAATTATAACTATAAGGTAATTCAGTGTGTGGTTTGTGGAATCAGCTGTATTACTAATAGTCATTCTATATTTTGATAAAGTTCTGAATGACTGGGTCATTCAGCAAATGGCATCTTTCTAAAATATATTAACATATTTTCCTGTCTTAGTAAATAAGGACATATTCTGCCAAATGTCATCAGCTGTTGACAGTGAAAACAAGGTGAAATATTACAGGGAGCAGCTGGTTCCACAGGAGGATGATTTATGCACATATGCTAACTAATATGGTAACAATAAGCACTCCACACTACTAGGGCTCAAGCTTTAATTCAAATCATTGAGAACCATATGATTTGGCCTTGGGCAATGACCAAATGAGAGGACAGCAGCATTTTGTGATGTTAGGATGAGGTTGGTTATGATACGGCCAACAGGATTATTGTAAAATAATGTTTTCAAGACAATTTTATGTGGAACATTCCTATAATCTCTAATCACAGATTTAGAACTGAGAAGAACCTTAGGGATGACATATTCTAACTGCCCTTTTTTTTACTTTTTTAATGGATGAGAAAACAGACATCCCAGGGAAGTGACTGGCCCAAGGTACAGCCAAGCCAGGCTCTGTGCCCAGGTGTTCTGACTTGTGAGCCTGTGTTCTTTCCAATGACCCTCAATCCTATGGATCCATTAGTCAATTTCCCATGTTTAAAACCTTAGCATTATTCTGGAGCCTTGCCCTCCCTTCATCTCTCCCATCCAGTTGATTACCAAGTCTCCCTGATTATAATGCCAATCATAGCTCCGGTATTCACCTCTTTAAGGTTACAGGACTACCCCCAGGGCAATTCCTCACTCACTCTTCTCAGGTACTTTTTTGCTTTAGAGACTCTGCTAGAATGTCCTCAAATGGAATATCCTAGATGCTTAACAGGTATTTAATTGAACTGAATTGTTATTGTAAGTGCTTTACTCCATTTCTCTCCCTTCTTTCAGTAGAGTATGAAGTTTGTACCAAATAACCTAAATACTCAGCATTTCACAATTTTTGTTTAATGACAAAGCCAAGAAGGTTCTCAAAGCAGCTTTGTCTTCCTCCTTGCTTTTTTTTTCTTTTTTAAACTTTTTAGGCATTTCTGAATAGGAGGGAAAATGGCAAAAGTTTTAAGTTATATATTGGTTTCTTGACATTAATGTTTTGAGTACATCGCACACAAGACAAGGTTCTTTCTTACCTTTGATACCCTGATTGGCAGGAGAAATTGGTTTGGTAGTTTCTACTACATAATCCAAAATGCTTTGTGTTATGTCACCACTTCCCTGAAGTTTAGTTTCCAGTAAAACTTTCTTTCTTTTTTTCTTTTGTCCTTCAATGGGAACTTCAAGCAACAAAATCTTATAAAAACATAAAGGAAAGTATGGAAAAGAAAAAAAATAGATTAATATCATCATAGAAGTCCACACAGAACCCAGGTAATATTGATCTAATGGGTTTTAGTTAACTATACCCAGAACAACTAAAACCCTATTCCAATGCTTCACCTGATATGGAGGTGATCCTTGATTTTTAGAGACTCTCCCAGTACAGAGAGACCTCTGGCAAGTGCTATCATGATCACCATTTCGAATATGGACCCAAGAATGTTATTGAGAACTAATGCAGCTAAGTTTGGAAAGATTTATTAAAAGCCGGCTGCCAAGTAATCAAATTATTTTTTACCCTAGCAAAACATGAAGACCATGTAAGAAGACATACAGGAGTTGTGAATTGCTCTGCTAGAGGAAGTACTCAATCATAGATGCCCGAAATGTTATGTTATTTGGAAATAAATCATGTAAATTAAATAATAGAGAGGAAAGTTGGACTGAAGTCTAGGATTCAACTTTCTAATGAGATTTTGAAATCCATTCTAAAGAAAGATGACATTTCTGTTGTAATGAAGTTTGCCCTCCTTACCAGTCTACCTAAGTGTATTTCATTACAAAAATTTACAAAATAATGTAGTTGTTGAGGTTCAGGGGCACCCACAATGTTGGGGTGCAAAGTCGTCTAGAAAGAAATCACTCAGGCTGTCTCCAAATCAAGTAAAGGCATTTATTGTAGATAACACAACACACCAAGGAGGCTCTTTCACCCCTTAAGGGAGACACAGCTTAAGGGGAGGGGTGGCAACCCCCTAAGGGAAGCAGCCTCCCTTGCCCCAAGAAAGATGGTTGCTTAAAGGGGACCAGATTAAGGGAGCCGCCAACTAGTCAGGAGAGGCTGGGGATTCTTATAGAGGAAAACCTGCTATGGGCAGAGAGATGAGATAACCAGGGACAGAAAGATGGACAGGAAGGTGAGGTAATCATGGACTTGTAGGTAAGGGGTGGGGTAGTTCACAGTTTTGTGACATTATTCCATTATTCAGCTCATTTGTCCAGGGTGGAGGGGCCCCAGTTAATTGGGGTATTTCCTTGACCAGATTACAAGAATCTCAGAGTCTCCTAAAGTGGCTTTAAATACTTGAGATAATGGGCTTCTCACTGACCACCCTATTTGAATTGCATCAATTGTTAAGTAAAGATTAAAAACTGCTTTAAACAAACAGCAAAACAGAATTATAACTGGTAACAAGGACATAGAAAATAGCACACTTTAAATGTCAGTCTCTTACTTCATATGATTTAGCTCGATATTCCCGAGAATTGAGACTGGCAGTGTTCTTTGGACGAATGACAGCAACATATGCATCTTCTATATTCTCTGGATTTCCCATAGCTTCATTAAAAAACAAACAAACAAAAAACCCCCATAAAAATCAAAACCCACAACTTCTGAGAGATTGAAATAAACAGGAAACCACAAAATTGATAGTAAGGTAAAACAAAATACCTAACACATTTTCCAAGCATTGATTCTTATTAATATTCATATCTTCATTATTTTTTCAATAATTTTTGCATTCTATTTTATAAAACTCACAGAATCGGAATACATAGTATGTAAGAGGCGTGAACAGGCAACATAATTCAGTAAGCTAAATACTAAACTAAGATTATGCTCCTATTATTCAATAAATTAAGATTAAGGTTAAATTACTTTCTTTGTGGTTTAGTTTCCTCATGTGTAAGGTATACATGAACATATTAATGGAAGTTCTCACAGGTCCTTTGGAATTTATTTAGATTGAATTTCTGGATATACTGACATTAGTGAATTAATTGTATTTTCTGCCTTTTTTTTTTTTAAAAATCAAAGAGATGAACTATGCATTTGAAAACAGTAAACTATATAGCTGGTATTAGCATTAGCTAGCGAGTTTTAATATGGCAATACTTATCCTGGAATATTTAACATTTAAAAAAATAATAACATAGACAACCATCTAGAACACAGCTGAGAACCAGGAAGTAAAAAAGACCCCAATGGACAAAATAGATGTCACTAAATCCACAAAATAAATCCAATGTATTTTGTTTATAGGTAAGATGCATGAAGCTTCTTTATACTTATTTTAAATACAATTTTAAGTTAAAATATAAACTAGTAGCAATAGAATGTAAGCTAAAACCAAATACAAGCTCTTTGAAGGAAAGGACTGTTGTCTGGCTTTGCATTCCCAACAAAGCATAGTGGTTTGCTTATAGTAACAGCTTAATAGACGTTTGTTAAATTTAACTAAATTGGTTTCTTAGGCAATGAAAAAAAACTAGTGGAAAGGGAGTACAATGAGCACGGTTGACAGCTGCTAAAGAAAGGCACAGTGGAAATGTCGGAATATGGGCCCTGGGAAACCCCTTTCCCCCCAACTTTCTATGAACTTTTCCACATGGCTCTGGCAATCCTATCAACTGTCCTTGCATTGTGACTTTGAACCTGCCTCAATCTCCAATTCTCTGTAACCCAGACCAGCTGTCATTGTCTGCACCTGGCCCCACCCTAGACCATCACTCCTTAATTTCATCTAGACTTCTTCTGAGTGGCCCAGGTCCCTGGCATTTGCTTGGTGGCACCTGGCCCTTCCAGGTTATTATCTGTTACCTCCCAGTCACCCAAGCTATTGACCACTTCTTGACCACTGCATAGAAGTGTCCATCTTGCCCCCATTAAATCACTCAGGCTCAGTCTGGTCTGCTTGTCAAAGCAAGTGTCACAATAGCGCCCACCCATTTCAAGACAGCTAATAAACCTTGGCTTGGGTCAAATTCATTTCAGGAAGGACCTTCTTCACTTGCCCTTGAATTTCAGGGTCCCAGAACCCCTAGACCTCAACAGAAATATGTTTAATATGATTGTGCATGTCTAACCTATATCAGATTGCCTGCCGTCTTGGGGAAGATTCCCACTCAAAATGATTTATGGAAAAAAGTTTTGCTTCTCTCTTCTTTCCTATTTACATGACAGAAAATGTCTTAAAATAGTATTATACTTCCAGGCATTACTCATACAAATACAAAACCTGTTGATTTTTTTAAAAATGCCAAATGAGTGAAGACAGTCACAACTACTGCCACAGAAATAGTTTACTTCTAGAAGCAACTTTTAATACAGTAAAAGAGGAGAAATTTACATTAATTTATCATTGCTGACCAAGAACATCACTTTAGAACACTTCCCAAACTGCATTCCATACGATGTGCCAGGAAAAAATTTCAATGCTTGTGATTCGCCCTCTAAAATATCGATTTTCAGAACTACCATGCAACAATTTTTGAATATAAAAATGGCTTTAATTTCTATTTTATCGCAAAATTTCATTTGCTTCTCTTTACCTCAGAAGCAGCCATAACTCTGACCTTCTAACCAATACCAAATTTCACGCTCCAAAAGGTTTCACAGTACAGGTTTTGGAAATACTAACTTTTAAACCAAAAAAAAAACAAAAAAAAACCAAAACCCCAAAAAAGAAAAACAAACTCTTGACTACGTTTTAGACTAATATTTCTCTTCATTGGAAACTCACAATAATGTAGGTCATATGGTAATTCATCTAACTACAAAGGAACTTCATCAGACTTAAATTTTACCTTACAGCATCCAGGCTTTACTTGTTCTTAGTGGGAGGTAGCAGGTATAGTTCTTTCTGGGACCCTCAATCCAGTACCTAGTGGCATTAAATAAACTTTAAAATACAGAGGAAAAAATAGCACAATTTAAAAAAAGATTTTGTTGTAATTTATTTTTTCATAATTAAGCTTATTTAATGATTTAGGGACATTTTGAACAGAGGGATTTGGTAAAACCTTAGGAGAGACACAAGGTCTTTTTTGAGAAAAAGATGAAGGATAATAATAGCACATTTATATAGTGCTTTAAGGTCTACAGATTGCTTTACAAATATTATCTCCTGGGCAAGTTACTTAACTCTGATTGCCACCCCCCACAAAAAAATTTAAAAAACAAAATAAAGCAAAACCAAGTTCATTTGAGATATTGGGGTAGCTAGGTGGCACAGTAGATAGAGCTTCAGCCTTTGAGTTAGGAAGACCTGAGTTCAAATTTGGCCTCAGACACTTGACACTAGCTGTGTGACCTTGGGCAAGTCACTTAACCCTGACTGCCTCACCAAAAAGCAAAAAAAAAAAGTTAAAAATCTCATTTGATCCTCACAATAACCCTGAGGTGCTATTATTACCCCCATTTTGCAGATGAGGAAACTGAGGCAGACAGCGGTTAAGTGACTTTTCTAGGATCACATATTTATTAAGTGTCTAATAAGGGATTTGAACACAGGTCTTCCTGATTCCAGGTCAAGCACTCTATCCCCTGTGCAACCTATGTGCCCCATATAGCAAAGTGTCTCAAAGTAGACAAAGAAGGAGACACATTTTGCTTTCCTAATATTCAATCTTGTAATTATTTTCTACTTAGACAGCCAATTACTTGAAATCTATGGAGCTTACCAGGCTATCACCTTAAAAGGGTACAAGAGGCTCTGAAGGCAGACATCATGCTTTATAAATTCTCTGCATTATATAATAACAACAAATAATTAAGTGTTATTTAGGTATAGATACTGCATTCATCACAGTATTTGAGGCACTTTGAAATTCCCTATTAAAGTCCTACTGAAGGTCCTTTGAAAAGGTCCTGCTAAGGTATATACAAAAGGGATGATTAGTGTATTTTCCCTTTGTTTTAGAAGAATAAGGCAAATACAAGATTATACCACTGGGAATTTGTTTAATAGATCAGTGGAGAGGGCTGGATTTTGGAAGGGACCTCTTTGGTCAGTCTGCATCGGTTCTTGATTAAGAATCCATTCTATATTCCTAAGTAGCCTGGCCTCCTCTGCTTGATGGCTGACAGCCCAACATAGCCAGGTGGTCACTCCATATGCAAACAGCTTGACTTCCTTCTACAGAGCAGTTTCCTCTCTTTCTCCCTTCTCTTCTACCCAAGGGCCCTCAAATACTTCAAGACAGCTGTCACATTCCTCTTAAATTTCTTCTTTAGGTTTACAAGCTCCTGTTCCTTCTAGAAAGTGGAGCCCAGGAAAATAAACAATAATACAAAGGTGTTCTTACCAGGGCAATGGGATGATCCCTTCCCTAATTCTAGATACTAGGTACTGTATTTTTTTTTTTTTAGGCAATTGGGGTTAAGTGACTTGCCCAGGGTCACACAGTTAGGCTGGATTTGAACTCAGGTCTTCCTGACTTCAGGGCTGGTGCTCTATCCACCGTGCCACCTAGCTGTCCCTCCCCCACCCCCCACTAGGTCTGTATTAATGCAGCCTAAGAGCACATTAGTTTGTTTAGCTGCCATGTCACTGAGTCATAGTGAGCTTATAAATACATTAAAGATTCCAGATCTTTTCCATATAAATTTATCTGGTCAAAGACATGCTGTACTTATGCAGTTGATTTTCTTGATTCAATTGTCAAATCCACTCAAGTGTATGTTCATCCTTATTAAATTTAACGGAATTAGATTTGGGCCATTGTCTTGGCCTGTGGAGATTTTTTTCAATATTGTCATCCAATAATAAATAATAGTAGTAATAGCATCGGTTTTGTTAGGATTAAAGAAGATAATATATGTAAAGTGGTTTAAATATAAGTGTTAGCTCTTATTAGTATCCAATCTATGAGCCTTCCCATTGAGCTTTGTTTCATCTGTAATATTATTAATTTTAGAAAGTAACTGGCAAAAATGTTGACCAAAATATATTTTATTTGTAGCATGATAGGGTAGGGTATGCACTTGATTTGGAGCCAGGGAACCTGTGTTCAATCCCATGTGACACTTAACTACCTCTATGATAGCTGAGTGAGTCAGTGACCTCAGAGAAGGCTGGAGTAGTCACCTTACAGCTCTAGCTCGGCAACCTTAAGGCGCTCCACTTCTGCTGAAGACCTGAAGCCAAGCGAAAAGGAACCACAATAATTTCTGGTAAGCACTTTCCACCAGGTTCAATGTAAACTCTGACTAGCAGCATTAGCAACTGTCTAGAAACAAACTGAGATGTCTTAGGTTTCCAAACACAATTCAAAGCGATTGTAAAATGAGGAGGCGGCACTAGAAGGCCTCAGGTCTTTTTCAACAGTAGATCTGTGATTCTATCAGCAAGGAAAATGCATACTGGTTTGTCAAAATGTTTCTATTCCTACGGTTTCCAAATTGGTTTAAGTAAGCATGTACAGAGCTAGGGGTTCTGCTCCATAGATGAACTACAGTCTAGTCACAAACATGATAAAAAAAAAAGATAAATATGTGAAGCCTGCAATACATGTGATTTTTAAAACTGCCAACATTATTGTCCCCAACTTCCCAAAATTTTTAAAAATGAAATATCTTCAAGAGGTTACAAAATAAGTACTAACATAATTACCTGGGACAGAAGGAAATGGGATGATTAAGTTGAGATAGAAATAAGGGAAAAGAGAATAAGAGGTACTGATAACTGAAAATGAAAAAAAAAGTTCTAGTTAAGACGGAAATTTATTTGGTAAGAGATCTTGAGAGTATATACTGAGGCTGGCTAAGAAATGAGCAAGGTAAGATTGTGGTTTGTAATATTTAGCTTTTGATGACTAGGTAAACTTCATATCAGGATGACTAGATGAGGGGTTCAGGAGTGAAAATGGAAAAAAAAATCACTTGTTCACGCTATTTCCACTTGGTCCTTTTTTCTTATACACTAAGGATTCTTGGCTTGATTAGAATGGAATATGCCTGATTGGGGAGAGAGTCTGAAATCAGACAAGTAGGATCAATGCTCATGACTTGAGGTGTGGCTCTTCAGACCAATCTTTATCATTATCAAAACATTTGAATGAAGACACTTCAATGATGCAAATATCCCAGAGACATTTAACTTCTAAAACAGAACCCTTTATCTTTCTCCCTAGAGCCTTCCATATTCCAAACTTCCCTATTTTTGTTGAAAGTAACCAATATCCTTCCAATCTCCCCAGCTCTAATGTGGTCATTGCTCTCCACTGCTTACTCTTCCAAACCCCACAAATCCAGTGGGCCAATCTTGGCTATCTACCAACTGTCTCCCAACACACACACACACACACACACACACACAGACACACACACACACACAGACACACACACACACACACACACACACACCCCCTTAGTTCAGGCCCTAATCACTTCCCAAAACGAGCCTCCTAACTGGTCTCCCACCCTCAACTCTTTTACCACACCATTCCATCCTACACACTGCTTGTTAAAGTAATTTTCCTTAAACACATATCTGACCATATGACTCCCTTTTAATTGAGTCCAGTGGCCTGGGATAAAATATATAAACTCTTCTATTTAGCTTTGAAAGCATTATACAAGCTGGCCCAAAACTGCCCAACATTACTCTTCCTCTTGTACTCAGCAATCCCACCAAAATAGCTTTCTCTCTGTTCCTCACAGACTTTCTATCTTCTGTCTTCACGCCTTTGCAATGGCCTTCCCCTATGACTGGAATTCACTCCTTCTTTACCCCTGCCTCAGAGTCCGTGACTTAAGATTTTTTTAAGCACCTCCCATGTGCCAGATACTGTGCTAAATGCTAGTGATACAAAAAAAGGGCAGTCCAGGCTTCCTAGGAGCTCTCAGTCTAATGGGAATGACTGCATGAAAAAACTGTACAAACAAGCTGTATACAGGATAAACTGGTAAAAATCAATTGAGAGAAGGCACTAGAACTAGAAAGCCACAGGAAAGGCTTCTTGTAGATGGCAAGATTTTTAGCTGGGTCTTAAAACAAGATGGAGAACCCAGGAGGCACAGAAGAGCATTCCATGCATGGGGGACAGCCAGTGAAAATGGCCAGAAGCAGGACAGGAAATGTTCTAGGAATGGGGCAGAGGCCAACATCTCTGGATTGAAGAGTATTTGTGTGGGGGGGGGGGGGGGAAGGTGTTAATTAGGTGTAAGAAGACTGGAGAGATGGCAGAAAGGCAGGTTATAAAGAGCTTTGAATGCCACAGAATTTTATATTTGATCCTGGAGATGAAAGGAGGCACTAGAGTTTATCGAGTGGTGTGTGTGTATGTGTGACAGAGTCAGATGTGCACTTTTTAGGAAGCTCACTTTGACAGATGAATGGAGGGTAGCTTGTGGGGCAGGCAGACGAACCAACAGGCCACTGCCATCGTCCAAACGTTAGGAGGCGAGGCATTGCACAAGGGTGAAGGTAGCATCAGAAGGGGGTTGGAGGATATTTGAGAGACATCAAAAAGGTAAAATCAAAAGGCTTTGACAACAGACTGGATATGTGGGGTAAGAGAGAGTGAGGAGCAGAAGATGACATCGACGTTTCAAGCCTTAGTGACAGGAAGATGGTGGTGCCCTGATTAGTAACAGGGAACTTTGAAAGGAAGGAGAGCTGGTGGGAGGGGAGGTGAGTTCAGTTTTGAACACATTGAGCTTCAGATGTCTAAGGATCATCTAATTTGAGATATTCAATAAATAGATGGGGATGTGAAACCAGAGGTCAGCAGAGAGTACGGGGCTGGGCTGGATAAGATTTGGAATCATCACCACAGAGATGGTCTTTGAATCAAAGGGAGCTGATGAGATCATCAAGTGAAACCGTATACAGAGGGCCCAGGGTAGAGCCCTGTCAGACACCCAAGGTTAGCAAGTGAGGATCTGTATGAAGAATCAGCAAAGGAGCCTAAGAGGAAAGACTGATAGGTAGGAAAAAAAAATCAGGAGAGCAGTGTCAATGAAAACCTAGGGCAGGAGTGGGGAACCTGTGGCCCTCTAGGTCCTCAACTGCAGCCCTTTGACTGAATCCAAACTACCCCACCCCTTCCCCAACCAATAATTTCTGTCCTCTCAAGCAATCTTGTATCTAACTACTTAAAACAATTTTTTCTTTGAACTAGAGTTCCTAATATACAGTTCTATTCAGCTTTAAATGTATTGTAAATTCCATGTTTATGCACTACCACAGCAACAGAATATTCCAAAAGGAACAGAAAGTATTAGTTTATTTGGAGAATAAGGAGAAATCAACAGTACCCTACCCCCCTGGTTGAGCCCGGTATCCCTACCAGACACCTGAGCTTAGTGTGTCATCTCTGGTGTGTTTAAAGGTTATCAGACCAATTTCTCCACCACTACGTCTATGTGTTTAAACCAAATAGGTTTGGAGGCAGGGGAAGAGATTAATTTTTCAGCCTCTAAGGTACAGAGTAGGATTAGGGAGACAGTGTTAGCCTTTTGGAAAAAATATAAGCCTGTTGAGAATAGACATAATGTATCTCCTAGATACTTCTTAATTTCAGCACTTAACAAAGAACATTGCATATAAGTATATTTGTATCTGTGCATTTGTATTTATTGATGTTTATGTTGCAGATTTTAAAATATGTACTTGTCTACTATAGAATGTAGGCTCTTGGAAAGTGGTGATAATTTAATTCTTTGGACTTGTATACCTTAGGGGCTCTCACTTGGAAGACCCTTAAAAAATACTTGTTTTTGATTGACTCCATTTACCCTAGGCAAAGAATTTGATCTGCCTACCTTTACCTCAATCCTGCTAGTTACTGACACTAAGTAAAGACTAATAAGGAGGCCATGACGTACAAGCTGAAAGTACCTACTTCTCTCCTGGGCTCTAGCTCCACATCTCCAGCTGCCTAGAAAACACCTCTACCTCTATGTCTTATGGGGATTGAAAAGTCAACTTCTAACCTGAGATAATCATGTTTTCTCCTAAATCTATTCCTCTTCTTACTTCATTACATATCAACAACACTTCTATTCATCCAGATTTCTATACATTCCAAACTTTGGTGCAATGTTTGACTATTTCCTCCCTCACTTTCAATATTCAGTATTGACTTTGATTTTAACTTTACAATATCTGTGTCACCTTCCCTTCCTCTCTTTCCATGGCCATCTGCTTCTACAATTGTTACTCTAATATCTTCTCATTTCTATACTCAACCCCTCCTCAAAACATTCTTCATAGCAACTTATCTTCCTAAAGCAGAAATCTAGTCACATCACTCCCTTGCTCAAAACCCTTCAGTAACTCCCCCTTGCCTAATGAGTAAGCATTAGGCTTACTTTGTCTGCCATTCAAAGGTCCCCCCCCCCCCCCCCCCTTCTCCGCCTTCCCTCTCCAACCTTATTTCATACTAGTCCCTTCCATACGCTCTGTATGCCAGCCAAACTGTAGAGGTCATCCCATACTTTGTTGTTCAGTCTTGTGTGAGTCTGACCTTGTGGATCACAGCACACCAGTACTGACCGTGGGTTTTTCTTGGCAAAGACACTGGAGTGGTTTGCCATTTCCTTTTCTAGTAGATTAATGCAAACAGAGGTTAAGTGACTTGTGCGAGGCCTAAGGCCTTCCTTACTCTTCTAGGCCCAACACAATCCACTGAGCCACCTAGCTGCCTCCCATCTCATGCTTTACTCTGCTACTTTTACTTTCACTGTTCCCTCACTGTCCTCTTCTCCCTCCATTAATTGTATTCTTTCTACTTATTCTTAAAAGCCAATTCAAGTAGCACCACCTCCAGAAGAACCTTAGCTGACTTTTCCTTCTTCCCCACCCTAGACTTCACAAAACACTTTGTATCTTTTAGGTCCTTATCAAAAATACATTTTGTACAGTAGCTATCTGGGGTAGGATTCACATACCCTTAAGTAGACTGTTATCTCTAAGTAGGAACCACTGTGTTTTCTCTAAATTTTACATTTCTCTCAGCACAGTGATTTGTACCAGGTGGAGGTACAGCAATTACTTTTTAAAAAACTGAATAGTTCATTCAGGTTGAAAATTTTGTCAATTTTGGAAAAGTAAGCCTTTCCCTCCCCCTCCTCACTGGATGAACAAAAATATTAGAACGTGGGGACAGTTAAGATCGGGAAGGGAAAGTGATCTGTTATCTCAAACCACGGAGATGAATGAATAAGCTTGCCAAAATGTTAGTACACGAGTATTTATTAAGCATTTACTATGTGTGTGAGGCGCTTCGAATACAAAAAGGGGGTGGGAGGGAAACAGGACGACAGTCCCAGTTCTTCAGGAGCTCATAGGTCAATGAGAGAGATCACATGTAAAAGTACTAGCAAGAAAGAGTCAGGATAAGTTGTTGGGAAATACGAAGGATTCGGTCTAAGCTTGAGAGGGTCGTGCCTGAAAGACTCGCGGTGCTGGGGAGGAGGCCAGGGGAGTGTCAGTGCTATCCATACGCGAGGAGGGGAATCAGCTCTCAAGGAGACCGGAATGCCCAAGAGATAACTGCAGGGAGGGGGCTGAAATGACCGGCTGTCAAACCGAGCAAGGCTGTACAGCCGGGATCCTCTTCTCCCCCTCTCCCCGTAGGAGGAAACGGAGACCTAGCGATCGAAAGAAGGGCCTCTCCATGGGAGAAAGGAAGGCCCGGCCCGGCCTCACCCCGTCCCAGCCCCGGGTCTGCTCCCCCACCCCTCCCAGTGCTCCCCGCTGCCATCCCGGAGTCTGGGGTCTGCTCCCTGCCCCCTCCTAGGGGCTTCTCGCTCCCCCCGACCCCCACACCCCGCCCCAACCCAGGTCTGCTCCCCCTCTCCTCCCTCCCCTCCCCCGGGCCAGGCCCGGCCCCCGAGGGAGGAGCGCAGGTCGCGCGCGGTTCTTACCCGAGCCGAGCGGGCTGGGCCGGGCAGGGCAGGGCCGGGCCGGCAGGGGAGGGAAGGTGGCAGTCGCCGCCTCCACATCCCCGCCCACGGCGACCACGACGGCTCGGCACGACTTCCGGGGACAGGAAGACGGACCGCCCGCGCCCCGCGCCCCGCGCCGTCGCCGCCTCAGCCCCGCCCAGCCCCGCGCCGCAGTCCTGGGGCCGGAGCGTCGGGCTGCCGGCCGGAACCGCCCATCCCCGGGCTCGACGCCCCGCCCCGCGCCTCCGGGAGAACGAGGGAACCGCTTCCGGGTTCGCGCCCCCTAGAGCCCCGGCGGGGTCGGCGGCGGAGGTTCAGTTTCCGGGTTGCCGGCCCGAGGCGCTGCTCTCTCCGCCGTGGCTGCCAGGGGCCGCCGTCTCCAGGGTCGTCGCTCCTGCCGCCGGAGCCTGCCTGCGGAGCGCGGCTAGTCAGTGTGCTTGGCCTCGGCGGGAGCGGAGCGCGAGGGTTGGGCGGCCGGCCGGGAGGCGGCGGCTCGACGATGAGGCGGACTTGAGCGCGAGGCGGCGGCCGGAGCCCCCGCCCCGCCCTCCCCCAGCCCCCCGAGAGGCGGAGCGGTGGCCCAGAGGGATGGGGGGCGCCAGGCCTGCCTGAGGCCCCGAGCCGCGCCCCGAGCCCCCTCCTCACCCCGTGACCCAGTCCGGGACGAGGAGAGGGGGAGGGGAGGAGGTCCGGCCCCGGAGCCCCAGTCCCGAGGAGGCGGGACGAGCCCGCGGAGCGGAGCCCACCGGGACCCCCGTGCCCTGCCCAGCCAGCCTCGGTGAGTCCCGTTCCAGCCCCGCCGGCGCCGTCCGCTTCCCTCGGGCGAGTCCCGAGCCCTTCCGTCCTGAAAAGATCTGGGCGTTTTCTCGCTTGGGGTGCCGACCCCCGACCTCCCGACGGGGGCGCTCCGCAGACCCCGGAGGCGGGGCCGGTGGTGTTCGCATCCCTCCCGGGCGGGAGAGTGGGCTCTCCTCCTGGGGCTGCCTTGGGGCGGGGGACGCACGGAGCTCCTGCCGCCCGATCTCCAAACAAAAGGCGGGGGGCGGGGGAGGATGCTGGGCGAGCCCCCGGACCTCGGGGTGCGGAGCCCGGCGAGCTGCGGGGAGCCGGCGGTCCGGGCCTCGGCTGAATCACCTCCCCATTACTTCGTAGCTTTAGTCGTGTCTCTGAAAGATGGACAAAAGCTGCTTTTTGGTGTGTGTGTGTAGCCAGCGCGCCGTTTAGTTCGGGACGGATGCGGTGCTGGCCGGAGGTGCTCCCGTGAACTCATTCGCATTTCTTTATTTTGTGATTGTGAACTTCAAAATGTGACAGCCTTTGATTTGGAAGATTTTGTTGGTGCAAGTTGTTTTGTAGACTTTCAGATATCTTGTCTGATTTAATATTTTCAGAGTTATAATTTTTGATTTTCCAAGCCGGGAAACTCAGTTTTTTTATTTTTTAGTGAACTTAAAGTCAGCCATCTCCTCTGATTTCCCAGCAGATGACACATCTTGCCTTTATGCCTTTGACTTTCCGGTTCTTGTTAGGAAATTTGTTTAGGGATTGTAGACAGATTTAATATACAGTTGTGGAGTTTGGATTTAAATTTTTCATTCGTGTTTATAAGATTTGCTTTTTCACATAAGCTAATATGTGCAAAATGCTTTGGAAACTTCAAAACGCTGTAGCTTTATAACCGTCAGCGTTTATTTTCAAACTGTCACTGCAGAACTTTCTAGAAATTAGATGTTTTTAGAATAAAGTGTTGATGAGTTCAGTTATCAAATGATATTGAGTCTCTTCATGAATGTGGTATTCCAACAGGTACTATAGGAAGGAAATTAAATTTTTATTAAGGAATAATTTGGCTGTGTATTTTAATGAAGACTAATTTTTTACTCTTCAATGTAGACTACTAATATACACCATTTCCCCCCGAGACGTGTAGTCATTTGAAAATGTCTATCCTAAAGAGTAAAATATATGGATTTTCCTTAAGCAGGTTTTCTTGAAATTTCTAACACCTGATTTTGTATTATTTGGGTTTTTTAAGTGCTCACAATCCATAGAATTCAGTATTAAATTGGCCTAGAAGAATTAGCTCAGGAACTGTTTCTTAATATGTCAGGAAGTGTACTTTACTGGTCTATTTCAGGAACCTACTGAGAGCATTGTGGGTTCAAGCTTCAGTGTGAGGGTAGTTTTGTTTTGGTTTTGAGTAGTGAAAACACTTAGAATATTCAGACGAAAAGAGGAGTGGAGTATATGTACAGACCTTTTAGGGAAGTAATCAAGTCATGTGAGAGGAAAATCTTTGATAAAGAAACTTACTGTCTCCACCTTCTCCCAAATATCCACTGTTTCCTCTTCCCCACCAAGGAGTTTTATATGTTCACAGGCTGAGAATGTTTAAATTTCAGAACGTACCATAAGGGAACTGTGTCGAATTTGTCTTTTGGGATGAGTTTCTGCTAAGTAGTGTGGGGGACATAACTGACTCATCTATAGTAAATGCTTGTTGATAGATAACATTGCTCTGGCTTTTGTGGTGTCCTTACTTCTGAAACAGCTGGTTTTCTTTCTTTTTGTTCCTGACTTATGTTGTGTGGTGGCAAAGACTTATGTAAATGAACTACAGGGTAATTTTGAGTTAAATGATCCAATAAATGAGTGGTCACTAATTTCCGATTTAGATTGAGATTTATAGGTCAGGACTAGAAGGAATCTTCAAATCATCTAATCCAACTACATGACGCAGGGAAAGAATGTCAGACTTCAGTAAAAAATTGTGGTCATATCTTCAGATTGTTGGACCAGTCAATCAAAAAGTATTTCCTCGAGTTAGGTGCTGGGCATATGAAGATAAATGAAGCAGCTCAGCTTCCTAGAAGCTTATTCTGTTAGGGTGTACCATGTGATCACAGATAAGTAAATACAAAGATAAATACAGTGATGGGGGAGGGGCATGAACAACTCTGGGAATAGGGAAAAATCCTAAAGGCCCTCCCAGGGTTTGTTTGCTCACCTGTAAACAAGGTCATGGACTAAGTGATCTAGATGATTGCTTTCATCTTAATATATAAGAGTCTGGGAATGCCCTTATTTTATAGCTGAGGGAAAACAGGCTTCAGAAAAGTTAATTGATTTTCCCAAGGTGTCAGAGCCAGGCCTTTTTTCTGCCTTTTAGTCTAGTATTCTTTTCATTACACCTCTGTCCCTAGTAACCTCAGTACCTTGACATTTCTTTGATTTCACTGGAGGGGTACTCTGATGTATCTTTTTTCTTTTTTTTTCTTTTTTTTTGTATGCACGACTCACATAATAAGCATATAATAAATGCTTATAGAATGAGTCAATCCCAGACACTTCATGAATCAGTAGACCTTGCCAGGCCTCTGTTCTTAATCTTTCTAGTTTAGTAGGGCTTGCTGGGATTTATATTCCTCTTAGTGTCTTGGAGAAGCCACACCATAACAAAGCATCAGAGGAAGACTTTAGTGGAAGCCTGTGTTAGCAATGAATAAATTCTGCTCTCGAATGAGCATCAAAATGAAGTCCTATTCTGAGTAAGCCCTAATAGTTCAACTTTGTCTATGAGAATTATTAAAGCCTCCATCAGTGTTTTGGGTACTTTTTAAGGCATTTTCTCTTCAGGGTAAAGTTCACTTATGAAATTTGTAAGCACTAATCTTCAAATGCTAGATCTGCTTTTTTAAAGGTAATTTATTAAGATAATCAATTTAAGGAAAGTTCCTCTGTTTAGTGTTTAAAGTTCTGCCCTATTTTATTCTTTTTTTAATAACTATTTTGGGCAAATCAATAAATGCATAAATTTATTAGGCATCTACTATATGTCAGGTACTTGTTAAGTAGTGGGGGTACAAAAAGAGGCAAAAGATACTCCTTGCTCTTAGAAGAGTTTACAATTTAGTGGATCACAGATTTAGAGCTGAAAGAGACCTATAGGTCATTTCGTCCATACCACTCATTTAACAGAAAAGAAAACTGAGTCTAAGAGAAGCAATGTAATTTATTAGCCCAATATCACCCAAGTGATAAATAGCAGCTCCTGGACTTAGATAGAAGTTTTTTGACTTCAAATTTACTGTAAGAAATTTCCACTTCACCAAGTTGTCTTGGGTTATTTTGTTTGTTTCTGTTTTGTTTTTTTTTCTTGTTTTGTTTTTAGGCAATTGGGGTTAAGTGACTTGCCCAGGGTCACACAGCTAGTAAGTGTCAAGTGTTTAGTCTGAGGTTGAATTTGAAATCAGGGCCAGTGCTCTATCCATGCACCACCTAGCTGCCCCCATTTTGTTTCTTAATGGTAGTCTTCTGAAAGGAACCCTTTGCTTCTGATAGCTTATTTTCATGTTCATATTAATCAGGATTTCTGCTTTGAAACTTTTTTGATCATCTGTCTAATCTTACCTAACTCACAGGTTTTGTTCTGAAGAAGCAAAAGGCTAACAGTCTTATATGCCCCTGAGCTTAAATAACGGTTTTCTTGTCGTTTGAGATATTGATTTATATGGGTTTTGTTTTGTTTTTTTTTTAAGAAGATGTATTGGAATAAAGGGAGAAACTCTTAAGCATCTACTGTGTGTCAGGCACTGTGCTACACACTTTACAATTATTTTCTCATTTGATCCTCAGGACTCTGAGATAGGTGCTATTATTGTCCCCTTTTTACAGTTGAGGAAACCAGGGCAGATAGAAGTTAAGTGACTTGCCCAGGGTCATACAGCTAGCAAGTATCTGAGACTGGATTTAAACTCTGATCTTCCTGACTCTAGACCCAGCACTCTATCCACATAGGTGTCAGGACATCAAAAACTTGGAGAACTGCTGCTATAAACTGTTTGTGAAAGTTTTTACTTGTATCTGTCTTTTTGTTTTGCTTAAAACAAAGAGTTGATAGTATTATTATTGCTCTTTTTGGCCAATTTCTGATAGAAATACCCTGTTATTTCTAATAAAAAATAAGGGTGTTAATTCCTTTACCCATTCAATTTCAGTGAACATTTCACATTTAACAGTTTAGTGCCTCAAACACTAAAACTACTCAATATAAATATTTG